GCACTTGCCACGCAAACCGCCAGCTCCAAACACCGACGCCACCCCGATCCCCGCATCCGTGCCAGGCACCCTCTCAACGACGCCCCTTTTTCCGGCGTAGAACCAATAAAACCCTTTGTGCTTATGGGTTTTTTTCCTGTTCTGAAGACGCACCAAGAGGCTCCAAAACGGCTCCCAAAAGCTTCCAAACAGCCCCTGAGAGGCCCCCGAGAGGCCCCCCGCAACATCCCAACGAACACCCTAGAAGCTCATGGCCTTCAACCAAGCAAGGTGGCGGGATGGGCCGAAGGCCATTCGATCCGCCGCCCCCTGTTGGCTTGCCACAGGAATGCCTGGCGTGCTGAATCCTACGTATACTCGGCTTGGCTTTGGTTGTTCCCCCCCCCAAAAAAAACGCTCCCCCTGGGGCTTCGGCCGATTGCGCCGGACACCCAGGAGGGACCTCAACGTCCGGAAAAAATCCCCCAAGACGGCCTCCAACACGGCCCACGAGGGCTCAAGATACCTCCGATTCCGCCCAAGAAGCCTCCAAGAGAGGGCCCGAAGAGGCCAAAATCATTGATCCTCCAAGATCGCCCAAGAGGCCTCCAAGTCGGCCCCGGAACGGCCCAAAAGGCCCCCAAGACAGCCCCAAGAGGGCCCCAAGACGGCCCAAGAGGCCTCCAAGACGCCCAAGATGGTCTCCAAGACGGCCCTGGAGCACCACAAGAGTACCCAAAGTCGGCCCAGAGATGCCTCCAAGACGGCTTCCGACGGCGTCAGACAAGCCAGGAACGCCTGAAAACAAGCAAAGAGGCCCCCGAGAAGCCCCCAAAGGCCCAGGGAGGCCCCCAAGATACCTCCAAGAGGCCCCTGGGAGGCTCCCGGGAGGCCCCAAAAGTGCCCCCAGAGGCTCCCAAGATGCCCCTTCCTCCTCCTCCTCCTCCTCCTCCTCCTCCTCCTCCTCCTCCTCCTCCTCCTCCTCCTCCTCCTCCACCTCCTCCTCGCCCTCCTGATCTTCCCCGCCATCATCCCCCAAGTGTTTCCCGAAGGGTTTCCACAACGGCTGAGGGAACATATGGTCCGATAGATTGGCAGAGCTCTTGCCACAGCGCTCGGCCACCTAGGCGATTTCAAAGGCAGGGGGCGGCGGTGAGTCGCCGTGGGCGTCTTCGATAAAACACGACTGCGACTACCAGCACCAGCATCACCGCCACCACCACCACGACTAGTACTATTACGAAAACTACTACTGGTAGAGCCACAACTTCTTATCCAATTACCACCTACTACTATAACCCTACTACAACTACTACCACCTACTACTACCTACTACCAGATACTACTCTACCTACTGCCACCAGCTACTACCCACAACGACCTACATACCAATCTCTCTGCCTGCTCACCCACTTCCTACCACCACTGCAGTGCCAATATTCCTTCTTCCTTTTTTTTATCCGTCTCACTCTCACCCCAGCTCTTCCCTTCGCGTCCTCGTCCTCGTCCTCGTCCTCGTCCTCGTCCTCCTCCTCGCCCTCCTCCTCCTCCTCCTCCTCCTCCTCCTCCTCCCCCTCCTCCTCCTCGTTCTCCTCCTCCTCCTCCCCTGAGGGACCCACCCCCAGTCCTGCGTCCCCTCCTCCTCCGCCATGGCTCCACGCCGCACGGCCGGGGCAGGCGCCCAGGGCGCCCTCCCTTCGGCTGGCGACCGCGCCCCGCAGGCTGCCCCCCCCCTTCGGGGGGGACGTCGGCCGCCCACCTCACCGATCTTGGCGTCACTGCTCGGGCGTTGGCAAAACTGGGAGGAGGAGGAGGAGGAGGAGGAGGAGGAGGAGGAGGAGGAGGAGGAGGAGGAGGGGGAGGAGGAGGAGGAGGAGGAGGAGGAGGAGGAGGAGGAGGAGGAGGAGGAGGAGGTGTAGTGGAACCTGGTTTAGGGATTCGTGGCGGGGGCGTCCCCCCCCGTCCCACTTCCACTCACCGGAACAACTGCCGTCACCCGAAGAACGCCAGCTACGGCAGACCTGGTCCAGCGACTCTGGCCAGTTGAGGGGCCCCAGGGCCCTGCCACTGACTGGGTCCCCTTACCCCGGGGTCCTGGCTATACCCGAAAAAGGTACCGATACCGCTACTCCCCGGACCTCTCCCGGGGTGTGTTCTGACAAGAATTTCGAGGCGAATCCAGCGGTGGCGACGACAGAGGCCGAGGAGGCCCCGAAGAGCGGAAAACGGGCGAGGGGGTTGAGGTGTGGGTAGCTTTTCCTCCGGGCCGGGTCCCCTTGCCCGGGGTCCTGGCTATGCCCGAGCTGCACGGGCACCGCCACGCGCACCCAGCACAGGCGTGCCGAGCTCGGGCATGCTGAGCTCGCAGCGGCAGGGCGCGCCTCGTCGCGTGCTGCCCCGCCGACCGCGGCGCAGACCCGGACCCTCTCGACGTCATGAGATTTTTGCCCATCACGCCGACCCTCAGAGGTTGAAGGGGCCCCAGGGCACACAAATAAATACACACAAATTAAACTACTCCCCATATTTTCCCATATTTTCTGGGTTTCTGTCTTCCCCACCACTTCCCATATTTTCCCATATGTTCCTGGGAATCAACGATGAATTGTGTCTGTGTGGTTTTTTTCCCCTCCTGAGAGGTCTCGGCTCGAACGAGATGGGTACGGAAAGAATGGGTACAAACAATGCCCAACAGCAGTTCCTGGTCATTCTGTCGGGGCAACATTTGTGGTTGGGCAGTGTGCCCATTCTTTCCGTACCCGTTTTCGGGCGTCCAGATCAGAGGTCTCGGCTCATTCTCCTGGACCGGCTTTTCATTCTGAGTCAGGTTTTGACGGTCCCGAAGGCCAAGAAAAGCCTCCAGAGGCAGAGAATACGGGAACACCTCCGGACATGATTTTGTTCGCGACCGATCCCAAAATCGGTCGCGGCCGGCCGCCACCGATCGTGACCGATGTGGAAGCAGGTCGGTCGCGACCGATGCCGAAATTTGAAGCAAAATCGGTAGCGACCGACCTCGCCCGTCGCGACTGCACGCAGAAAGCATCTATACACCACCACCGTGCCAGGCCAGGGCCATCCTGGGCCCCAGGATGGTGTACACGCCCTCCTGGCCGAGCCAGGAGGGTCTACACACCCATCCCACGGCCCAGGATGGCCCTGGCCTGGCACGGTGGTGGTCTATAGATGCCTTCGTCGGAGACTGGAACATCCCAGCGTCCAATGCTCAAGGCAGGGCGGGGTGGGCAGCCGACGCCCCCCCGACCCTCCTGGCCCCCCCGGCGCTGCCCCGAGGGGGAGGGGCGCCCGCGCCTCGGGCCTGCCGGTCGCGCGGGCGCGCGCCGCTCGCGCGGGCGGGGGCCCCTCCCCGAAGGGCGAGGCCCTGCGGCGCGCGGGGCGCCAGCGGCAGCAGCGGCGGCGGCGGGTGCGCGGGGAGTGGGGGGCGCAGCGCCCCCTGGCCCAAGGCACGCTTGCGGACGAGAGGGGGGGGGGGGGGGGCAGGGAGCGCATCGACGGAAGAGGAGGGGGGCCTGAGGAGGAGGAGGAGGAAGGAGGAGGCGGAGGCGGGGGGCGGAGGAGGCGGAGGCGGAGGCGGAGGCGGAGGCGGAGGCGGAGGCGGAGGAGGCGAAGGCGGAGGCGGAGGAGGCGGAGGTGGAGGAGGCCTGGGAGAGTTCAGGGCCCCAGCAATGAAGGCCGCATCGCCCCGCCCCTGGACGCCCCCGACGGCGGCGGCCGTCCAGGAGCGGCCAAGGGGCCTTGGTGCCCCACGGGCGACGTCGGGTGGCGCAGTGGTTCCGCGCCGGGAGGAGCGCCTCCGCACGAGAGGCGGAGGAGCAGAAGGGGGGGGGGCGGAGGAGCTGGTGAAGGGGATGGGGGGGAAGGGGTGTCCCATCGGGGTATGTCGTGGTGTCTGTATGTACATTTATGTACACATATATAAACACGTACACCTATGCATGCACACACGCACATCTATATATATACTTATATGCATAACTAGAAGTTCAGACGTATATCTATATATATATGTATATATGTATATATTAATGAAATGCGGCCCCCTTGTGGTACGGCATGAATCATCATGGCTTTAGCGCGATCGCTCCTGTCACGGAATACTTGGCTTTGCTTATTTCACATACAAGGGTGAAATCCTGAGGCGGGTGGCTAAGTTGCATATGGGGAGAGGGGGGGGATGACACGGGGGCGGAGGAGAAAGAAAAGGAGCGGGGGGCAAGGGCGCCCAGCGGAAAGTGCAATGATGCCGAGCGACATTTGCGCAGTTATCCCCGCGGCTGGCTTGGACTGTACGGCTGGCGGCGGAGGCAGATAGATCGAACGTTGAGCGGGCGACGAGGTGGAGCGGTGATGAAAGGAGGAGGACGACGATTAGGAGGAGGATGGTAGGAGGAAGATGACGCTACGACAAGGGAAAGGAGGAGGAGGGGCAGGATATGAATGGGAAGAGGTGGTAAGAGGAGAAGGAGGAAGAGGAGGAGGAGGAGGAGGCGGAGGAGGAGGAGGAGGAGAAGAGGAATACGATGATGACAACGACGAGGGGAGGAAAATGAGGAGGAAGAGCACAACAACAACAACAACAACAACAACAACAACGACAACAACACCAACAACAACAACAACAACAACAACAACCACAACAACAACAACAACACCAACAACAACAACAACAACAACACCACCAACAACAACAACAACAACAACAAAGACAACAACAACAACAACAACAACAACAACAACAACAACAACAACAACAACAACAACAACAACAAAAACAACACAACGCGAAGAGAAAGAGGATGCCGACGACGGGAGTGGAGCAAGAGAAATAGGAGGAGAAAAGGAGGAGGAACGGCAGCAGAGGAGGCACAGTAGGAGGCGATCGCTGGGGGCGCCGAGGACGGGGGAGAGGAAGATGAAGGAGAAGGGGAAAGGAGGAGGAGGAGGCGGAGGATGAGGAGGAGGAGGAGGCGGAGGAGGAGGACTTCCAACTCTCGCCGGGCCCGCTCGGAGTGGGAGGCGGCCTTGCCCAACTGCCCCTCGAGAGACCGCTTCTCGCTGAAAACCTTGGGAACTGACTGCTGGGTCAGGATAACGACCTTGTTGGCGAGGCGTTTGGGGTCGAGGTGAGCTCAGTAATTCTCTTCTGCACCATTGTCGCAACGCTCCCGCAGCGTGGCCACCAGTTCCCCGAGGCGCTGGCTTTCACATGACTATGACTGACCATTTCCCATGCTCATTGCCCCCTATCAGGACAAACATGAAACTGGCCATCGCTCGAACGTCCATTTCCTGTGCTTCTTTCGGTTTCGTGCGTGTTTTTTTCGCCAGATGGTCGAGGATGCTCCTCGAAGGCCCTCGCCGAGGAAAAAACGCGCAGGTCCGAGCGATGCCAAGGAAAGAGAAGCCCTGCACGATACGGTGGGGGCGACCACCAACCTGGCGGGCACGCTGCACACACACACACACACACCCTGCGATGCTAGAGGTGTTGCGAACGATGGATCGCCAACACTGTTTATTCTTCTTGTGCCCGCCGACTGCACACGACCACAACGACTGATCCACACCTTGCTCGCGGTCTGGCCCATGACTCCGCGTGGCCTGCTGCTTCCGCAACGGAAGGTTTGCCCCACGGCTTGGGCGCCATACCCCGCGGAAGCCGAGTGGAGGGGAGGAAGGAAGAGGGAGGGAGAAGGGCCGCCCGCGCCTGAGGGGAGGGGGGGCACGCGCATCCGAAGGAGACATTTTTTAAATTTCTGGGGGATGACGCATATTACCCGGGGGGGGGGCGTGTGGGGGGGTAACAGTAACTGGGGCCGCGGCGCGCACCCCCTGAGGCGCGCCGCCTACGTCGTCGTCGTCGTCGTCGCCGTCGCCGTCCAACCCCACAGCGCCTGTGCACACAGCACGGGCTCTGTACAATGCCTTTGTGCACCAAGGCTGCTACAGAAATCGTATGTGTGTGCACCACGGCAACTGTGCACACCATAACAACCGCGTGCACCACAACGCCTTTGTACATGGCGCCATCTGTGCACACCACGGCGCCTGCGTGCACCACAGACGCTGTTTCAGCTCCCCGTGCACCACAGCGCCTGCGCACACCGCAAAGTTCGTGTACGCACGCCTGAAAGCAATACCGACGGGGCCAAGCTCCGGAGCATCGTCGGGGGCCCGAACGTATCAAATTCAATATCTGATTTGATTGTGATTATTTGTTTTTCTGGCCCCAAGAGAACACCTTTATACACACAGCAACGCCGATGTACACCACAGCAGCCGTCTGCACCACAACGCCTGTGATTTTTGACACCACAGCTGCTGTTTCAGCACCCCTCCGCGTGCACCACGCTGCCTGCGTGTACCACAAAGTTTGCGTACACCTCCACTGTCCCGACGGAGCCAAAGTCCGGGAAATTGCTGGGGGCCCAAATCTATGATATCCAATATTATGATCTGATTGTGATTATTGTTCTTTTCTGGCCCGAGGAACGCTTGAACATTTTGAGCGCACAGCGAATTTGAAACACATCACCTGTGTGCACGGAGATGAAGAGGGAGGAGGACGAAAAACAACTAATATATGCGTGGGCCCATTACAGACCGTGCTTTTTTGAATCGGCGATACCCTGGGTTATCTGGGGAGGGGGGGAGGGAGGGGCCGACCGATAAACTAACCTTCGCGCTGTGAGCCACCCTGCATATGCTTGCGCACACCGGTGCTGCGGCCCCTACAGCTGCTAACGATGCTGCCGCGATGCTACTATTGGTGTTGCGACGATGCGGGCGCCGCATGATAATGTCTAAAGATGTATGGACAGCTCGCATTGGAATACGTGGGATGCGCTTGCTAAGCGTAGCCGCGAAGTCTTGTGCACACTATCTATAGAACGCGCATGCACCACACTGCCTGCGAGTACTACAAGACATGCGTGCGCCACAACGGTCTTGCACACCACTGGTGCTGCTGCAGCAGAGGCTTCTGCGTGCACCACAGCGCCTGTGTAAACTGCGGCGCTTGAACATACCACAGGAGCCGCGTGCACCACAGCGCATGGCGAACATTTGCGCCACAGCGTTTCCGAGCGCCTCCCAGGTCCCGCTGGGGCCCAAACCTGGAAAACCCACGGGGGCCCGGCCCGAATATATAAAATTCAATATGTAGGTTATTTGTGATTATTGATTTTTCTGGGCCGGGGTGCGGTCCCCCCGTTTTTGGCCGACCACGTTTGTGTACACCACAGCGCCTGTCTAGCGTGCGCCACGACGCCTTTGTACACCACAGCGGCTTGTGTACACCACTGCGTCTGTCTACACAACACGTCTGTGTACAGCACAATGCCTGCGTACACTACAGCAGCCGTGTGCACAGCAGCGCCTGTGTAAACACCGCGTACACACACTGCCTGTGTACACAACAACGCATATGTGCACCACGCTCGCTGCTTCAGTACCATACTCGTGCACCAAAGTGCTTGTGTACACCACAAAACTGCGTACACTTCCAGGGCCCCCGGCGGGACCGAACTCCAGAAAATCGCAGGGGATCCGAACCTATCGAATCCAATCGGTAAACCATGTGTGATTATTGTTTTTTCTTGTGCAGGGAACAATCCCGTTTTTGGCCCACAACGCATGTGTAAACCATATCGAATGTGTGCACAGCGACGGATGTGTACACCGCAGCGCCCGTGTACACCACAATGTTTGGTACACCGCAATGACCGTGCACCACAGCGCTTCTGTACACCACCATACCTGGGATGCCTGCGTGAATGATAACTGATGTTGCAGGAACTTTGCGCACCACAGAGCCTGCCTTCACCATATTGCCTGGTGCATCACGATGCCCCCGTGCACCGCGCGACCTGTGTGCACTTATGCTTGCGTGCGCCACAACTCCTGCGTACACAAATCCTGATGCAACAACAGGAAATGCGCGCACCAAATCGCTCCGCTGCCTGTGCACAACGCAATGGACGACGTCGTCGTCGTCGTCGTCGTCGTCGTCGTCGTCGTCGTCGTCGTCGTCGTCGTCGTCGTCGTCGTCGTCGTCGTCGTCGTCGTCGTCGTCGTCGTCGTCGTCGTCGTCGTCGTCGTCGTCGTCGTCGTTCGTCGTGCGTCGTCGTCGAGTCGTCGTCGTCTGTCGTCTGTCGTCGTCTGTCGTCGTCGGTCGTCGTCTGTCGTCGCCTGTCGCCGTCGCCGTCGTCGTCGTCGTCGCCGTCGCCGTCGTCGTCGTCGTAGTCTCCCCGTGCCACTCCAAGCCCCAACGATTCGCCAACGTGCATCCAAACACCAGCATGCTGTGGCGAAAACCAACGTACCGTTGAACACAGCGCTCCCTACGAGTTCCCTGCGCCCCTCCCCGGACCTGCACAACCGGCTAAGTTGGGTAATCCTGGGGGGGCGAGGGGGGCGAGCCCGATAATCCGGGTTACCGCAGGACTCCCCAAAAAACAGTCTCTTATAGCCCACAACGCACGCTTACATCGTAGCGACGAAGAGCACTACAGCGATCGTGTACACAACGGCGCCTGTGTACACCACAGGGGGTGTGATGTGTATGCCACATTGCCTGCGTACACCCTTTATGCCTGCGTACACCACGGTTGCTGCTGCAGCGACAGATGCGTGCGCCAAAACGCGCCAGAACGCCCGTGCACACCGCACTGCCTGCGTGCACCATAGTGCACGCGCCCGCGTGCACCACAGACCCTGGGCTGCCCGGGATCTCGCGCCGGATCGGGGCTGGGGCGTTACCGCTGCGCGGGGGGAGTGGGAGGGAGGGGGTAACATGCGTCATCCTTTGGCTGGATAAAAAATGGTCTCAGGAGGATGATTACCAGCCTGGAACATATCCCTATCCCTATGCTGGGTATCTCCTCATCACGATGCCAATCGTATGGATTCCCTTATTTTTTGACGGCGGATCCCTAAGATTGTCATCGCCTTTTGGCGTGCCAATCTCAGGGATAGGGATACGTTCGAGGCTGGTAAGTAATATGCGTCATCCTTTGGCTGGGTAAAAAATGGCCTCCGGAGGACGAGGGCTCCAGCCTTCGGCGGACGCGGTTCGGGCGGTCGTCGTCCATGAGCCGCAGGCTCTCCAGGAGGTGGTCCCTGCTGCTGTCCCGCGAGGACTGGTAGGTGGCCAGGGCCTCTTCTCGAGGGCAGCGTCTCCCCTCCGCCGAGTGCCGTCCGGCTCCTCCTCCTCCTCCTCCTCCTCCTCCTCCTCCTCCTCCTCCTCTCTCCTCCTCCTCCTCCTCCTCTTCTCCTCCTCCTCCTCCTCCTCCTCCTCCTCCTCCTCCTCCTCCTCTTCACTCCTCCTCCTCCTCCTCCTCCTCCTCCTCCTCCTCCTCCTCCTCCTCCTCGTTGGCACGCAGCGTGGGACACAGAACAGCAGACTGCGATCAACTGTGTTGCGCAGCGCGTCGCGGCGGCGGCCCGGGCGACACGCAAGTGGATAGCGTGCCACGCCGCTCCGCGGAGCGGGGATCTGGGAAAGGCTCGGGGCGCTGACGCTGGGGCACCAGGAAGGGGTCGGATCCAAACTGGAGCCAACGTCACAAAAACTGTATCGTTCTGGGCGCGGGTTGGGGTCGAGCGCTGACTCCCAGCGGCAGGAGACCGAGCGAGGCCCGAGACAGACGAGGGAGCGAGGGCCAGTGGAAGGACACAGTGGCGGAGGGACGACGACCGAGCGCAAAAAAACCCAGGCTCGCAAGCCGCAAGGGCAGCCCGGCAGGGCCTTGTCTTAGAAACTGAGGGTGGGCATTAGTCCCGGCGGCCGTCTTGCGTGACGTCTGCTGGGGGTCAGGCCCAGCTTGGGACGGGCCTGCATGCTACAGTCATCATATCAACTTCACTGCTGCAGGTTTGCCGCCGGATTGTTCTTTTGGTTGGCGCATGCCCCCCGCCCCGTTCGCCGCGAGATCCTCGCAGCGTTGATGCGCGTCCGTGGCCTGCTTGTCGCAACGCTTGCCGGAATTGTGCCGCTCCTGTGTCTCCCCGAAATCATACAGAATTGCACTTTTTTCAGTTCAGCGCCGCGTGGCTTGTCGCCCAGCTACGGGGGCCTGCAATAGGGCGCACGCCCACGAAAGCAATGCCGTCTGAGGGCGCTTTGGTGCCCTCCGTGGGCTGTCTTGGGCGGCTCTTGGGGTCCTCCTGAAGCCAGTCTTGGTTGTCTCGGAAGAATACGAGGAGAACTGTTATCGTGTTGGGAGGTAGGGGGTGGGAGGATGGAAGGGTATAGCCATAGCATCCAGATGCAATGCACGATATTTTTGGCCGCCTTCGGGTACTGAAATCCTCATTTCTCCCAACCCCTTTCTCCCAACACGATATCCGTCTTCCTAAGATTCATGCGGGCCTTGTGGGCCGACTCGGGCGCTCTGAGCAGCAGACAAGCAGGAATCCCGAACTTATCGAAGGACCGGGAATACAGAATCTCGAGCATACTCACCTCTCTGGGGGGGTCCTCTTGGAGTCCTTTTGGGGCGTCTTGGGTCGTCTTGGAGGCGTTAGGGGGCCGTCTTTGGCCATCCTGTGCCGCCTTTACCATCTTGGTCATCGGGTGGCGCTGTCTTGAGGCCCTCAACGGCCGTCTTGAAACATGTTGGGGCCGAAACCGTTTCAAGAAAGTGTCCCTGCCCCCCTGGGCTACATTCGGTTACCGGGCCACTGGGGAACGGGCATGCGAAAGGTGTACGAGCAGCACTGCCAGAGTCAAAGTTCAGGCGACGCTACGCCTGCTCTTGGCCCAAGGTCGTGGCCACAGTGTGCCCCACTTGGATGCGTCAGACTCAAGCAGTGTCCGAGTGAGTGAGGGAGTGAGTGAGTGAGTGAGGGGGTGAGTGAGGAGGATGGGGAAAAGGAGGAGGAGGATGGGAAACATAAGATGGAAATCGCAATCGCCAAACAGTAAACCCGTGCACGCAAGGGCCACATAACCATCCAATAATCAGACTGGCGAAGGACCGAAGCCTTAGCAACTTGATGCAATGACAATGATGGTCCACCTAATGCAGGATCCGTGTAAAGGATGTGCCAAATTTGGCGAAGGACACATGGAAAAACCCTCGCTGGAGCCAGGTGGAGGTGCCCTGTGAACCACGGTCCGAATGAGAAGTGCGCCGAAATGGTCAGGTGGATGCATGCGAATCTTGCCTCTGGGGACGTAAATAAGCCTCCTCATGCGGCACGATCCGTGTGAGGGGTTTGCCAGAATAGACGTGGTACGCATGCGAACCCTGCATACTTACGCAGGACGAAAGATTTTCCTCTTGAGGTGAAAATGGCCGTGAGGAGTTCGCGAGACAACGTCGGCGCCGCCGAACGGACGGCGACCGGACGAGCTGCCTGCAGCAACCGGGGGGGGAGGGATGTATGTATTCATGTTGAATGGGGCCCGCTCGCGCGGGGAGTTGATGGGAGTGCGCGAGACGACGCATGGCCCATCGTGGAAAGTTGATTACCGAACCCCCCTCCCCCATAGAATCTTAACACGGGCGGTTTGCGGGGTCCGCGGATCCGATTTATTCTGGCCCCCTGGTTTTATTTAATAATATAATTTTTTAAAAAGGTAGAAATCTGATCCGCCGTAAAAAAATAAGACCAGACACGGATCCAGCTAATCCGAAATCGGATCCGTACGGACGGAAATCGGATCCACCAAAACAAACACCAAAGCCACATTTGGATCCTCGCGAACTTCATGGGATCCGACGCAGGTTATCTCAATCGGGTCTGCTCAAGACTTCACACCGTCGTTCCGGGCCCAAGAGGAAAAAACTTTCGTCCTGGGGATGTATGGGGCCGTAAGCAGAATCCCCCCTATGCGATACTGTGTGCGCGAGGGTGTGCCGAACAGGGCGGGATGCCGAACAGGGCGGGGCGACTCATGCAAGCCATGCCCCTAGGGCCGTAGATGGAGAGCTCCCAGAGGGGCGGAAGTGCACATGCGGCACGAAGGGTGGGCGCGACGAAGAGGAGGAGACGCGCGGCACTGCCTAGGGGAGCGAACAATGACATGAACATAACAACTCAGAGGTCTGCGCGGATTTCTCGGATTGACGCTGGGGCCCCCTGGCGGCGCCTCCGGCGCCGCCCCTGGCGCGCTCCGCGCGCCAGGGAGGAGGGTCCAGCGCGGATCCAAGAAATCCGCGCGGAACTCCGAGTTTTTATGCTTATGTCATTTTGTTCGTTCCCCGACTGCCGCAGGAGAGAGAAGGAGGGGGTTGAAGAGAAGGTGAGACGCGCGGCGCTGCGGGTTCAAAGCGAGGACCCAACAGCACAGGAGGGTAGGGAGAACACAACCTGGTGCGCACTGCAGAAACGATCGGCCCAGAGGCAGCAGGGTGGGAGTCCCAAGAGAGAAGGGCGGACGCCATGGAACCACGGGTCATCGAGCGGCGAACCTTCATTTTCAGAGCAGAGGAACTAGGTCTCCCGGAGTCGGGACCAGGTGAACTCAAATTCGCCACGATCGTAGGCTACAAGTTCAATGCTTCTCAGTGCCAGCTTCGGAACTTGGCAAAAGCTGCCCCAAGGCGAGGAGCGAGGGCACGAGCCTGGGCTCGCGGACACGCTAAGCCACACGCGCCGCTAAGAGTACATCCGTCTGTGCTCGGGCGACCAGGGCCGGTGTCTCCCAAGCCGGCATGGCTCGGACGCAAACTGCGGGACCCGACGAAGGTATATAGCGGATCGGTTGGACGCAGCCAACGCCACGATTCACACCCACAAGCTGGCAACATTCGAGAAGCCGAAAAAAACCGGATCCCACCCCCATATGAGAGGGAAGCAGCATCGAGACAACGAATGCGCAGTTGCAGTCCATGACAGTGCCAGGCTATCCTCGGCTGTTCTTCGAGGCAAGTCCCGCGCAGGTGGGAGGACTCATGCGTGGATTGCACGTGTGTCACTCACCGCTGCTGGGGCCAACACGCGCAAGCAAATGGATACCGTGCTGCGCATCGCGGCGAACAAACTTGGGTGCGCGGGTTTGACGCTTCCACCGGCCTGCCGAAGCCGCCTCTTGTGGACCGTTTCGGAGTCGTGAAGCCGATGCGCCGACGCGCCGCTCGGGGCAAGCCACGCCCCAAAACTTCTCACCCGATAACTCGGCAAACTGATACACCAATGTACCAACGCACCGAAACGACGCCCAAATACCGATATTGCGATACACCGATACGCCAGTCGCTGCCATCAGCCCGTCAGAACCGATACGCCGATATGCCAGTAAACCGATACGCCGGACGAGGCAGTCGGCGACACTGAATCGATTTGCCGATCTGCCAATGGTGCACTAGGCTGGCGTTTCGGCATATCGGCGCGGCGGCACCCAAATACTGCATCAATATATCGGCATGTCGGCTCAGGACCGCGGGTATATTGAATCGGCATATCGGCGTGTCGGCCCCGCTGCGGCGGTTATGTATATATATATATATATATACACATATGTAAACATACAAATATATACACAAGTATATATGTGTGTATGTGTACACGTGTATATACTCATATGTATACATATATATGTATATATATATATATTTATATATATATATATATATATATTGGTTCAGCGGCGCATCGGCTTTAAAACAGGAGCAGTGCCATGGTGTGGCCACCGTGGAACTTTGAACAATGCTGTCGTACTTCACGCTAGCGCACGGCGTGCAGACATGTAGTGTTTCACCGTTCCCGTTTCCTCTTTCCTCCTGTCTTCAGATCTGCTTCTGTGCCCTCCCCTAACTCCGTAAACCCGCAGCCGTGCCGTAAGCACTGGTAAAACGTCCGCAAGTACCATCGAATGGTCTTGAGCTGTGTGAGAGTCTGCAAGGGGCCCAGGGTCGGATTTCGGGTGGCGTCGCGCGCCGACAACAAAAATTGTGTCAGCCAGCGTGGGCACCAACAGTGGATCATTGCACTATGGGGGGAACGCCATGTCGGTGCGGGCTAGGCGGTGTGAGCTCTGTGGTGTAACCGAAGTTGTGAAGCTCCTGTGACGTAGGCTATTGTGTACATGCCACGCGGTGTGAGCTGTGTATATGGCGTGAACTATGTGGTGTGAATATTGTGGTGTGAGCTATGCGGTGTAAGCTGTGCGGTGTGAACTAGGTGGAATCATCGGGCTGGTTTGATATCGATCGTGTGGGCCACGCGGTGTGAACGATGTGGCGTGAGCTGCATTGGGCCAAGTGTATTGTCAAAGCTATGTAATGTAAGTTGTGTCATGTTCGCTGCGCGATGTACGCTATGTTGTATGAGCTACGAGGCGAACGCTATCGAGAAACCCGCCCAACACCGCGGCGCCGACGAGGCGCCACAGCGCGAGCACGGGCCGACGAGGCGCCACAGCGCAAACACGGGCGCGAACCTGGCGAAACCTAGGGACTCCTACCCAACGCACGGGGCGCCCGCGAAGCACTCACCGAGTGTGCACGGGCGCGAACGTGGCGAAACCTCGGAAGACCAGCCCAGCGACTGAACACGCGAAGTGGGAACCTGGCCTGGCCCCCCTGGTCGGGGTCGCCGCCGCAGCGTCCGTACCCTCGTCGCGGGTGGCACTTCTCTCCCGGCCCCTTTGCCCTTCCCGCGCGCCTGCGGCTGCTCCCCCCTCCCTCCGCCTCGTCTTCCTCCTCCCCCCCCCCCCCTTCTCCTCCTACTCTTTGCCTCGCGTCTTCGGCTGGCCCCCCTCCCGCGCGCCCGCCCGCCCTGCCCGCCCCGGCTTCGCACCCGCGCGTTCGTCGTCTTCTGCCTGCGTGTCCCCTCCTCCCCCTCCTCCTCCTCCTCCTCCTCCTCCTCCCCCTCCTCCTCCTCTTCCTCCTCCTCCTCCTCCTCCTCCCCCTCCCCCTCCCCCTCCTCCTCCTCCTCCTCCTCCTCCTCCTCCTCCTCTCCTCCTCCTCCTCCTCCTCCTCCTCCTCCCTCCTCCCCATCCTCCTCCTCCTCCTCCTCCTCCTCCTCCTCCTCCTCCTCCTCCTCCTCCTCCTCCTCCTTCTCCTCCTCCTCCTCCTCCCTCCCCCTCTTCGCTGGACGGCAGTCCGGCAAGGCAAGGAGCGCGGCGGCGCGCAGGGCTTCTCTGGCCTAAGGAGCCCCAGAAGGCCGGGGAGGCCCCGCGTGGCCAAGAGCATGTTCATGAAGGGGCCCTGGGACACACAAATCAATGCACACGAATAAAAAAGTATCCCCCATAATTTCCCAATATTTTCGGGGTGTCTGTCTTCCCCCACCACTGCCCATATTTTCCCATATTTTCCTGGGAGGCGACGATGAATTGTGTCTGTGTGTTTTTTCCCCTCCTGATTTCCGTGACCCCGCGGACGCGGGACACTGTTCAGCCGACGCCCCGCGCAAAACGTATCCGTGCGACCGCGCATCCGCGGGATCGCGCCCCGGACTCCAGACCGCGAGGGCGCGGACATGCAGATGTCCTACGCTCGTGAAGCCTCCTCCTCTCTCTCTTTCTCTCCTTGCTGTTCCCCCAAGGGTCTCAACGGCTGGGAGAACACATGGTTATACATGGTTCAGTAGCTTAGCCAGGATTTGGCACAACTTTTGGCAGCAGGGACGTTTCCAAAAGGCAGGGGACGGCGGTGGTTCGCCGCAGGCGTCTTCGATACTTTCATGGAATCAACACGTCGTTCATGACCTCGGCCAGCGGCCCTCACGGCATAGCTAGATGCGCAGGCGCCACCCAGGATCGCCTGCTCGTCCAGCGGCTCCATGCCCCGCAGCTGCGGCAGTTACAGGCCGATTCGGCGGCGGGGCATCTAGCTTTATAACCGGGGATGGACAGACCTCCCTTTAGTGAAACGTGGTTTAGTGAGAACGACCTGAGGCCCAAACCTGGCGGGCGCGAGCCTGGAAAATAACGGCCACGGCGCCCTCTCGAGAACCGAAAACGGACAATTCACTAATCGACGTGTCACTGTTAGGAGGTCTGTCCGCCCCCGATTTATAAAAGGACATCCGGAAAACGGAGCTCGGCTGCGGCAGGGCCGGAAGCGAGCACCCATGGGAAAAAAAAGGCTCCCGTGGTACCGAAGTCTGCTTTCCTTTCCAGCTGGAGGAGGAGGAGGAGGAGAAGGAGGAGGGAGGAGGAGGAGGGGAAGGAGGAGGAGGAGGAGGAGGAGGAGGAGGAGGAGGAGGAGGAGGAGGAGGAGGGAGGAGGAGGAGGAGGAGGGGGAGGAGGAGGAGGAGGGAGGAGGGAGGAGGAGGAGGGGGGAGGAGGGAGGAGGAGGAGATTCGGCGCCTTTGGCGAAAATGACTCGGCAGGCGGGCCTCGCGGGCAGAAGACCGGTCGACCGTTGGGCTCCCGCCCCGGCGGCCTCGCGCCTGGGCCTCCGCCCTGAAAGCACGGTCCGCGTCGGGAGCGCTCCGCCCCGCACGGGGGGCAGGGGAGAGAGGGAGCTGCAGCCCGCGGAAGCAAGCGCAAGTTCTGGGTCGGGCATGTCCTCCTACAGTCGGGGCGCTGACCTAAGGAACCCTGAATCAGGAACGCGGCCCCTTGCTTCCATCAGTGAACCTTCGATCTCCTGCCGAAAACATCAGGAAAGCCTGAGGCAAGCTGCGCGGCAAGCTGTGAAACACTTAAGGAACGCGGAGCCCCTCCCCAACGCAAAGGGTTCCTTCTTCAGGGCCCCGACTGTACAGGCGGATTTTGGACGAGCGAGGCAAAGTAGTCCAGAAATCCTCCAGAGTGGTGCAAAAATGCTTGACAAATCGTCCCCAGATAATTTGTTGACCGGCTCCAGAGGGACCTCCACCGAATGGCCCCAGTGCCACCGTCCGCATGCGTCACGCACACCCAATTCGGCACACCCCTCACACGTTTCATGGCCCCATAGAGAGCTCCACCGAAAGCCCCAGTGCCACCACCCGCATGCGTCACGCACGCCCATTCTGGCACCCCCCCCGCACGTTTCGTGGCCCCACAGTAAGCTCCACCGAAGGCGCCAGTGGCTGCGTTCGCATGCACCCACTGCACCCAAATCCGGCACACCCACCACACGATTCGCGGAACCATAGCGAGCTCCACCGACGGCCCCAATGGCTGCGTTCGCATGCGCCCACCGCACCTATTTCGGCACACCTCTCACGCGCTCCGTGGCCCCACAGGGACTTCCACCGACAGCCCAAGTGGCTGCTTTCGCATGCGCCCACCAGACAGATTTTGGCATACCCCTCACACGTTGTCCTATGGTGAGCTCCTCCGAATGCAGTGCATACAACGACGGTGCTCACAACTGCATATGGTTGGGTCCTCCGCCAGGCTAATTTGACTATTCTTGGAATTCCTCCTGCAGAGGGGCATGCCCGACTTCACGCAAGTTTTTGTCCGCGGCGTGGCGGCGCACCCAGCCCCCCAATGTCGGTATTCGCGCAGACGTCGTCGTCGTCGTCGTCGTCGTCGTCGTCGTCGTCGTCGTCGTCGTCGTCGTCGTCAACGTCGACAACGTCCTCGTCTTCGTCGTCGTAGCTTGGTGGTGGTGGTGGTCGCCGCCGTCTCAGAAGGCTTGCGGCGCGGGCAGGGGGGCAGGCGCGAGGTGGGCGGCCGTCTCGGAGGGCGGGGGCTCTGTAAGAAGACATTGGCCAGAGGACTACAGCTTTTCTCTTCGGACCCCGCGGGCCGCGCTGCGCGCGTCGCAGAACTCCGAGAACGGGGAGGGGGGGGAACCTGCGCCTGCCATCCGCAGAGGGCCGTATAGGGGTGCGGGGGCAGGAGCCGCTGCTCGACCCCACGTGGCCAGTGGAGGGAGCCGCCGGAGCGCGCCCTCACCCCGAGAGGTGCGCGAACATGGCCAGCCACACGCCCTTGGCGCCGGCATCGAGGCCGGCAGGTGCGTCGGCGTGGGCCCCCCCGCCGCGCCGCCGGTCGGCCCGGCGGCCGGCCGCGCCGTGTCTGGGCCAGGACGTGGGGGCGCCGTCCGTCCGCGGCACGGTGTGCATTTTGGCCCGCGGGCGGGCGTCGGAGGTGGAGCACTTCGTGGGCGCCACGTCGCCGGGGTCGTCCACGTAGGCCACGGCGTGCTTCACGTTCGCGGCGGTCGTGCGCCGCAGGGCCCGCATGGTCTCGAAAAACATCTCGGAGATGGCCTCCGTGATGCGCACCGCGGTGTCTTCCAAAGCCTGGCGACTCACCGCCGCGGCCTGCGGCAGGGTCCTCAGCACGTGATCGCACTGCTTGGTCGCCTCCCGCTTGGAATCTTGCACCGCCTGGTCAATCGCCTCCGAGGTGATCTTCTCCAGCTCCTCGGGAATGGTCCACATCTGCGTGACCATGTCTTGGCTCTCAGGGGTAATGCTCTTGATCCTCTGCATGACGGCGCTCAACTTCATCCGTATTGCACCGTTCGCCTCCATCATCTTCGAAGCGAACACATTCCTGATGATGTCTGGGATTTTGTCCAGCTGGTCGATGGCCACGTCGATAAGATCTTCGTCCTCACAGCTGCTGCGGATGGCCATTTGCACCAATAGGAGGGTGGTCTTCACACTCTCGGCGAGGCTCTCGACCTTATTCTGCACTACGCTGCTCAACTGTTCAGGGATGTCGTCAATGGCCTCCGTGGCGGCTGACAAACACTGGTTCTCGATGCTGTTCTTAATCGTCTCTTGGCTTCTCGATGCTGAGACCTCTTCCTAAAGGGGCACGACAAGGGAGGACTGGCACAACGGCGGGGCGCAATGAAGTGGAATCGCTGATGCACCGGCGATGTATCGTTTGTACCAGAGCACACTGCGCACTACATTGGTATACAATATGCACGAAGCCCGCCTCTGAAAAGAGACAGGCGCACTTTTCCGGCTCCTCCCGATCTTCCTCCTCTACCCTCTCTTCCTCCTCCACCTCCTCATTCCCGCCGTAAAGCACACCCTCTACCTAGACCTCCTTCTCATGACACCCCCCTGCTCCCTCCTCCTCCTCCTCCCTCCTCCTCCTCCTCCTCCTCCTCCTCCTCCTCCTTTTCCTCTTCCTCCATCCCTTTTCTTTATCAGAGTGAGAGGGGGCGAACGGTCATTCACAGTCCTTGGGGGCGTGGCTGAAATGGGTTCGTTGCGTTAATGTTGCTGTTGTTGCTGTTGTTGTTGCTGCTGTTGTTGCTGTTGTTGTCGTTGCTGTGGTTGTTGTTGCTGTTGTTGCTGTTGTTGTTGCTGTTGTTGTTGCAGTTGTTGTTGTTGTTGTGGTGGTTATTGTGGTTGTGGTTGTTGTTGTTGTTGTAGTTGTAGTTGTAGTTGTAGTTGTTGTTGTTGTTGTTGTTGTTGTTGTTGTTGTTGTTGTTGTTGTTTTGGTTTGGTTGTTGTTGTTATTGTTGTTAGTTGATGGTTGTCGTCGCCGTCCTCCCCTGCAACGTGTGCGGATTGCTGTTGTTGCGTTGTTGTCGTCGTCGTCGTCGTCGTCGTCCCTTGCGACCCACCCCGACCCTCCTGCGACCCACCCAACCACCCGCACCCGACCCACCCCGCGACCCACCCGCGACCCACCCACCGCCCACCCCGCGACCCACTCGCGACCCACCCCGCGCCCGCGCCTTCACACTTATCCGAAACTGCGGGATGGTTCCTCCTCCTCGTCCTCCTCCTGCTTCTCCTCCTCCTTCTCTGTTTGTTTCTTCGTATGAGTGTTGATATTCTTCTTGCCACTAGCATTGTTCATCGCATTTGTCCCCAAACAGTGTTCGCACTTAAATGTGTTTGCTCTGCAAAGCTGGCCCTGGATGTCGGTCTGGTGGTTCCGTGCCGCCGCGTTGCCGCCCGTCGCCTGGGCCTGAACGTCGCTTTGGCGGTTCCGTGTTCGCCGTCGCCGCCCCGTCGCCGCCTCGTCACCGCCCGCCGTGAAGGTTTGGTTGGCGGTCTGGCGGTCTCGTGCTCCCCGTGGCCGCCCCGCCGCCGCCTAGATTGTACAACGCAGTTCGCGCCGCACATGTTATATAGCATGGCCCCTCCAATCCTGAAACAAGGAATCGGGGTCCCCCCGCCCACAAATCTTATCGGCACCCTTTTCGGGGTGTGCAGTTGACGAACAATTGCGCACCACCGTTTATTCGAAATGTGAACCCATAGCGTCCCAATCAAATCGGTAGCTCCCCACCGCCACCCTCGTCAAATGAAACGATGCGCGCGGCACTCGTTTGTTAGTGTTCAACCATTTGCAAGAATCTCTGGCGAAGCATGGGCGAAGCGCGCAAGCTCACAGCGCCGCGCGCGCATGCCGAAGCCATTCGACACCCATGGTCGCGCAAGGATTTCCCAACGGAATGTACCGAACATACATAAACAATACATGGTTGTGCAACATGCTGTCGCTTCGCAAAGACCTGTGCACGCTCTGTTGCGAATTCTTGTTGGGTACGTCATGGCTGAACAACGTGCTCCTCGCATTCAACCAAGCGGGTTTCCCACGCGCGGGTGCCGAAATCATTCGATAGCCCTTGCGAGCGCGCGCTGGGGGTTGGGGGGGGGCCACGGTCCATGTCATATAACACCATGCGGGCCACTCGCGCCCGTCGGCGCCACGCGCATGCCGAAATGATCCCCACACCCCCTCATCACCAACACGTGGACGCCAACATCGTCATCGGCGTGATCAGCATCGGTGCCGTCACTGGCCTCAGCGCCGTCATCGTCATCATCGCCACCAACATCGCTACTGTAATCATCGTGTTTTCAGTTGCCGACGACGGTGTGACACCGCGCTCGCCCGAGTCGCAGACTCGCGCTTAAGTGCCCGCGCGCGAGCGCGGCCTGGGACACGCGCTGGAGGGCGCCCGGCGGTCAGCGCCACCGCGGCCGCGTCGGTCGCGTCAGCTGGCCACTCTGCGCAGGAGCTTGCGCGCGCGAGCGCGGCCGCAGCAATGCGCCAGCCAGGGCCAAGCAGTCAGCGCAATCGTCGACGCACGGGTTTTGCAAACCAAGTTGGGGTCGGGAGGGCGGGCCGCATGCGCGAGCAATGGAGTTGACAATTTCAGAGTCGGCAGGGTGAAATTGCACCACGTGCACTGTGCAACAACAATTTTATCGGCATCCCCTGGGGGCGTGCAGTTGGCAAGCAATTGCGCCACATCGTTCGTTCGAAAAATCAATCCAGATCATCCCAACCAAGTCGCCGACCCCCCGCCGCCGCCCGTCAAATGGAGCTATGCGCGCGCACTCGCTTGTCAATGTGCATCAGTTTGCGAACCCCCAGCGAGACGTGGGGCGAAGCGCGCACGCGCACAGCGTCGCGCGCGCGTGCCAGACTTACTCAGAACCCGTGGTCTCGCAAGAATTTCAAAAGAATGCCCCGAAAGCACATGGCAACACGTGGCTGTGCAACCTGTTTCCTGCACAAAACAACGCGCGCGCTCTTGCGAATTCTTGTTGAGTACGGCATATTTTGAAAACGCGCTCCTTATTATCATCAAAACTGGCCTCTCGCGCGCAAGCCAACATCATTCGAGCGCCCTTGTGGGCGCGCTGGGGTGTGATGGGGGGGGGGAAGGTCCACGTCGAATAACGCCATGCGGGCGGACCACTCGCACCCGTCGGCGCCACGCGCGGGTCGATCGTCATCGGCGTGATCAGAGCGGGCGCCGTCATTGGCCTAGCTGCCGTCGTCGTCACCATCGCCACGAGTGCCGCTTCTGTCATCATCGCGCCCGCCCGAGTCAGCGGCTCGCGCCGAAGTGTCCGCGCGTCAGCGCTGCCTGGAAGACGCGCTGGGAAGTGCCCGGCGGTCAGCGCCACGACGGCCGCGTCGGTCGCGTCAGATTACCTGGCCGTTCTGCGCGGGAGACTGCGCGCGCGAGCGCGGCCGCAGCCATGCGCCAGCAAGGGCCAAGCAGTCACCGCAATCGTCGCCGCACGGGCTTTGCAAAGCAAGCGCCGGGTGGGCGGTTGGGATGTTTTCGCGAGCGGTGGAGTTGACAACTTCGAGTTCGGCAGGGCGAAGCCGCGCCGCATAGTGTGCGCCGCGTGCGTTCATAGCACGCATTGCATCGCATCGATTCTCTTTTTTCAAAAGAATCAAACAAACCATCTCCCAGGGCTTACCAGACCCCCTGGGATGTGCAACGCGCGTATGAGATTGCCCCAATGATGATTTGAAATATGAGTTCACGCAAGTCCGCGCGGGCGCGGCGTCGCACGCGCGCGCCGGAAGCAGAGGCTTCGCAAACATTACAAGATCGAGGTTCTCGAGAGGCCCAACCCAGCGCGACGACGCCCTTCCCTGCCGCGGCCCCTCACCCGCCAGCGGCGGACGAAAGGGCCCGCGGGCGGAGCGGGCGACTTCGCCGCGGGGGGGCGTCCGCCGGCAAGCGCGAGCAGGGGGCTATCCCGTTGGCGCTTTTGAAATTTTCGCCTTCGCAGCCGCCCTAGGTCGACCTCCGGGGCCACCGCCCCCCCCAGCCGCCCTGGGTCGCCTTCGGGCGCCGCGGCCACCCTGCCGGCGCGGGCCTCGAGAGCCGCGCAGGTCTCAGCTGCCACGTTCGCAGCATTCTGCAACGGGAAACGAAAAGTTCCCCGGCACCAGCCAGTTCGCAAGGTCTGGGACGGCCGCAGCCTCGCCGCGCCCCCCGCGAACCGCCGCCGGGGCGCGCGGACGACCGCGCGGCGCGCCCTCGCGCTGGCGCCCGCGCCGCCCGGCGACCGCCTGTCCAGGTAGTCGGGTTCCTTCTTCGGAGTCCCCATCGCCGCCGTGGTCGATGGGGTCGTCGCCCTGTCCGAGTACTCTGTCCAGAAGCTCGCGACCTCCTCGGGGATGAGGAGCTCGACCTCTTTTCCCGCACGGGCCGCTGGCATCGCCATTTCCTGGAGCACCTCCTGGCCCGTTGCCGCCTCCACTGCGCGCCCCGCGGGCTCGCGGGCCACGTCCTGTCGGGCGTCGTCGCGCCGCGGTAGGAAGTGGCCCCTCTCGAAGTCAGCGATCTCCTTCCACGAGTCGAAGCCCGTTTGTGAACTTGCTTGGCCCAGCGCGCCGCATCCGCTGGATGCCGCCGGCGGCTCTGGCATCTTGCGCCTCGCTCCGCTAGTCTTCGCGCGCCTCAGCGCGGCCGTCAGCACCCGCCCACGAAGGCGAGGCGTTGTGGCGGAAGCCATCTGTGGTCGTCGTAACGCAGCGCCGCTTACGCCATGACGAAACGGATCCACGCCCCCCCACGTCCATGACCAGCCGCCCCAGGGCCCAATGAACGCGCTGGGAAACTGCACTGCCCTCGTCGCTGGGCCCTTGCCAGCGCCAAGGGGCATCTCAACGTTCGCGACGACCTGTCGCGCTGGTTCACGCCTGGCATGCGCCCCATCCACACCATGGCGGGCATGTGCTGAATGGGCATCTGCCCGCGCGGCTCGGCGGCCTGTCGGCGTTCACGTAATCGGTGAGGTGCGCGGTCGTCGCGGACAGCGGGACACCGCGCGCGTGCAAGAGCCACCTGCACATCGCATCCATGGCCCGCAAGCACGACCTCACCATGCTGATGGACGCGCGGCCCGTCATTCACCCGCTCCGGGTCCACGCAGGACTGCCCCGTCTCCAGCGAGGGCGCCCCATCTCATCGAGCAGCATGATCAGGCGAGGCTCCCACCGAAACCCCACTCGCGCCTCCAACCCGCGACGATTTTTCTGGGCTGCTGCGCGGCACCTCCGCGCGAAGCGGGTCCCCGCCATCGCGCGGGCTCCCGGCGGCGGCGGGGCCACGGGCGCTCCTCGGCTGGCCGCCGCCACGACGAACGCCACGGCATCCTCCAGCATGGCCCGTTCTGGGCAACCATGGAGCGCCCTCGGCCGCTCAACGAACTCCGTCAACGGCTGCCGCGCCTCCTCCGCGCTCAGGTCCGCGTTTGCCGCCACCTGCTCGAACGCTCCCTCGAACTGATGCAATATCGTCAGCCAAGAACGCCAGGCGCGTGCCGACGATATCGTAATCATAAAATCTGAAACACCTTGCGGACACGCCACCGCACGGCGTCGAAGGCGCACGGCCCAAGGGCCAGCATCTGCGCCCAACCGTTATTCAAAATCGGCCGAACGCCTGAACAAAAATGGCCGCATGCGTCTGGCAGCGAGAGGAAGGGTACACTTTCGTGTTGGCACACATGGGAGCTCAATCACTGTATTCTTTTGCGGGGCATGATGACTCACGGCCTTTCTGGGCGAGAAGGACAGCACAACCACGTGAAACGTCGAAAGGGCGATTCAGTAGTTCTGACCGAAGCGAAGTGAAAGCCATTCAAGCATGTGAACAACCATCTCCTATGAGCAAAATGCGAACCTGATTGTTTTTAACCTTCAATGTGTTGATTATTCGGTATTGGCGCGTTTCTTCCAGGAGCGATCGAAGACGTCACCAAGCGGGCCCAAGAGGGCCTCCCGAGAGCGACGAAACCCTCCAAGACTACAGGGGGATCCTCAAGAAACTCCCCCAAATGCGCCTCGAGAAGGCCCCGAGATGCCGCGAGGACGCTCCCAGACAGCCCCACGAGGCCCTCAAGACGCGCCAGGAGGCCCCCATAACGTACCAGGGATTATTGCAACACCTATCCTTCCACCTCCCCCTCACTCTCCCGCGTCTCCTCCTTCTCTTCCTGATGCTCCTCCTGCTTGCTCCGTACGGCCTGCGCTCCACAGGGGAAGTGGGCTGCCGCGTAGTACGGCCCACTGGGTTTCGGGGACGACGAGGCGCGCACGGTGCTGCGCTGGGCGCCCTGGCGGAGCTTGACGCACGCATTTGGCTACCGCATCCGACTTCGTCACACGAAGGCGAACCCTGCGCGCCAGCTGCGTGCCCTCACGAAGCCTCCGTGATGGAGGGCCGATATACGCCGAGGACACGAGCTCCATGCGTCCCTTCCTTCTTCTTTCACTAGGGAAGAAACATAACAACTCGAAGGTCCGCGCATTTCTTGGATCCGCGCTGGACCTCCCTCCCAGGCGCGCGGAACGCGCCAGGGGCGGCGCCGGAGGCGCCGCCAGGGAGGTCCAGCGCGGATCCGAGAAATCCGCGCGGACCTCCGAGTTTTTATGCTTATGTCATTATTCGTTCCACTATTCCCTGTGCTTTCCTCCTCCTCCTCCTCCTCCTCCTCCTCCTCCTCCTCCTCCTCCTCCTCCTCCCTCTCCTCCTCCCTCTCGCTGCCCCTGGCGTCCATGTGCTCCGCGATGCGAAACACCGCGCGCCCGTCGGCGCTCTCAATGTGGGGCCCGCCCCGGGGGCCGCCGCCGCAGCTCACGAGGAGCCCAAGCCCGGGCCCGCCTGGCCCCGGCGCCGGCGCCGCTCCTCCGGCGGCGGCCGCCGGGGCGCTCGTCGCAACTCGTGGCGACGGCGTGGGCGTCGCGCACTCGTCGCAGCTCCTGTGGCGGCGCAGAAGGCCACCGGGTCCCAGCACCCCTCGGGCAACGAAGGCATCATAGTACAGGAGATGTGGCCGTCCTCTCGGCCTGAAAGAGGCCCCCGCCGGCCCTCGGGGGGCCGTCAAGGAGCGGCTCGGGATGAGCAGCCGGTCCAGGGGACTAGGGGTCGAGACCTCGGAGTGTCGGCGTCGGGAAAAAAGTCATGCCGTTGGGGGCCCGGGGTGAGTGCATCAGGCAAGGAACCATTGGAAAGAGAACCCAGGGTCTGGGAGCTGATGGAGGTCCAAACGCGGAGTGGTCCTGGAAGTCACCGCCGCACTCGTGCCAAAAGGAATGCTCCAGGGTCTGAAGCGTCCAGGGAACATCCCTGAACGAACGCCCCAATCCTACCAGTTATATGCGCCCCCCCTGCATGCGCACGTCCGAACCGAGAAAACAGCACAAGCGTCTTATAGTGTATCGCTGCCCCGGCAGTATGGCCAGAACGCGCGCGGTACCGAGCATATACAACCAGATTCCCCATTGTGAGCGTCGCTTCTGGAGCGGCGGTGGTATATGTATGCTTTGGTGATGCCGATTCCTGGCGATGGCATCGCTGATGTTGTCCCAGCTGTCGCACGTCGCGCGCTGCGTGAGGCTCAAGGCCGCCCGCTGCGGCGGTACCAACTCGGGGAGCGACGCCGCGGTCGCAAGCGCCATCGGCATCGGCGGTGTGAAGCCAAAACGCCCAGGGGCCGCGCCGCATGCGCCGGAGGCTGTCCTGAACCAGTCTGGCAACGAGAGTAACTGAGCACGTCTGGGAAGCAAGCTCGCCCCACCAATCCCAATCTGGGCATCGCTCGGACGTCCATTCCCTGTGTTTTTGTTCGGTTTCGTGCGTGTTTTTTTCGCCAAATGATCAAGGATGCTCCTCGATGGTCCTCGCCGAAGGAAATATGCACACGTCCGAGCGATGCCAAGCAATCGGAGCACGCCTGACACGAGGGACGCACCAGGGCGCCCTTCGGGGCAAGCTGAACCCCAAACGAGCAGAGCAGCAACGAGCCAAACTGTTGAATTCGAAACAAATTTGGGAGCGAGGGGAATTTGGTCTTCAGGGAATGGCGGGGATGTAATGAGCGAGTCTGGCTGTGAGAGTATCCATTTGACTGGCTGAGCACGAGCACGTCTGCATGTGAGTGCGTCCGAGCACGGGTGACTTAGTACGGTGGGGGCGTTGGATGATAAGGGACCCTTAGAAATGGAATCCAGGGTCTGGAGGCCGGTGGAACTCCAATCGAAACTTGGCCATGGATATCACTGCCGCCCTCATCAGGTAAGGAATCCTCCAGGATCTGCAGCATCCTGGGCGCATTCCTTAACCAACGCCACCGCCGTACTGGAGAGTCTGAGCACGACTCTCTCCGGGCACGAGAGGGTCTGAACGCATATGGGTCTAAACATGACTGGGTCCGGGCGTGAGCAGGTCGTAGTGTGTGTGTGTGTGTGTGTGAGTCTGCTTTTAGATGGGGCTAAGTGTGAACCGTGCCATCGAAACTAATAGAGTCGGAGTATGAGGACATGTGCGCGAGCGAATGTAGACGCGAACGGGTCTGAGTATAACCAAGTCGTAATGAGCGGTTGAGACTGAGTGAGTATGAGTGCACATGAGTCTGGATGTGAGTGGGCCAGACTATGAATGAGTGTGCCAGACCGAAAGTGCGTGACCAAGTATGGATGATCACTAGCGGGAGTGAATATGAGGATGAGCGACTGGGTGTGGGTTAATCTGGCTATCATGGGGCTCTTAATTTTCTAGGGGTCTGGTTGGGCGCGAATCTGGGTTTGAGCGGGTCTCGATACTAGGGGATCTGGATAGGGCACGGAGAGGAGAGAGCGCGTTTCACGGGCACTTGGCTTGAAAAAGAACACCTCCCCCTCCCGGAAATCGGACGGAGGGAAGGGGGCGCACTGAAAATCTCCCGCCCCCTCCCTGGCAACCAGGGGGGGGGCGCGCCCCCCTATAGAACAGAAGGGGGGTATCCCCCCCCCCCCCCGGGGTGGGGGCCCTATAAAAAACGGAGGGGGGCGGGGGGGGGGGGGGGGGGGCACTCCCCCGAATGGGTCCCGCGCATGTCGACTCCAATCCCAACCGACCGGCCCGGTACCACTTACGGTCAGACCTAGGACAGAAGAACATCCCTCAAGAACTTGAGACCCTCCGCCAGCCCAACCACACAGAACATCCAAGGGTACCCTCCCCAGGATGCACAAGAGCATCCAACAAACACGAAGAACACTAGGGTACCCTTCCCGAACCGACCTCGATCTTATACCTTGGTCCGGCTGTATACAACAGACCTGGCCACCTCTGAACCGGCTAAAAAACCAACTGGCACCAGTTACAACCAGCCATCTTAAGCCGCCAACAGGACTGCATGTGCACAGCATGTGAAAACCATTCACACATCAAATGAAAGTCTTGCGAACAAAAACCATTAGTGCAAGGAGTCAACATGAGCGCCCTGTTTAAAATCGGTACTCGTTTACGCTCTGGCATCTGGGAGATGTGTTGTTTTGCAACAACAACCCGCACAACCCATATCACCTCAGGACAACAACACATATCCCACACTGCAACACATATTCACAACACACGCCCTCACACCTCCCGCAACAACACACATATCTAAAGCCCGACGTCTCATCATCCTTGTCATCGTCCGTTCCTTCCTTTCTCCTTTCCTGCCTCCTCCCTCCTACTCCTCCTCCTCCTCCTCCTCCTCCTCCTCCTCCTCCTCCTCCTCCTCCTCCTCCTCCTCATCCTCCCCCTCTTCCTCCTCTCCCTCCTCTCACTCTTCTTCCTCCTCATCGCCCTCGTGCTGCGATCCTCATATCCCTGCTCTTCCTTTTCTTCTTCCCCCTTCCCCCTCCTTTTCTATTGTTCCTCCTCTTCCTCCTGACCCCTCTGTCGGCTCCCGAGGTCCAGGCAGATCGGTGTCCCAGGCGGCGGCTGCAATGGAGGCCAGTCCACAAGAAACCTCCCACAAGAAACCCAACCCCGAGACACCAGAATGTCCATTGATGTTTGGTGTTGGTAAGTCGCGCCCTCCATAGCAGAACTGTCGAACCCCAAGAAATCCAGGGCACTCTGGAGGCAAGCGGGGCGTCTCTTGGCATGGGGCTCCACTGTATGGATTCTAACCCCACCCCCGACCCATGGGAGGCAGGGGCAGACGGAACAATCCGAGACGCCTCCGGGTCCGCCGCTCCTCCACCCCGAGGCAGGCCGGACCGAGCTTGGGGGCGCGGGGTGGGGGCAGCCTCAGCCCAGCCCTCCCCGCCCGCCCTGCCCCGGAGCCCACCCCCGTCCGCCCCTCTCCTGCTCGCCAGGGGCCCCGCAGACCAGGGCACGCACTGCTGACCAGGAGCTCGAGAGATCCAGGAGGAGGAGGAGGAGGAGGAGGAGGGGGAGGAGGAGGAGGAGGGGGAGGAGGAGGGGGAGGGGGAGGAGGGGGAGGAGGAGGAGAGGAGAGGAGGAGGAGGAGGAGGAGAGGAGGAGGAGGAGGAGGAGGAGGAAGCCGATGGAGTCCGGAAACCCTGACCCCAGGAGTTCGGGCAGCTCCAGACCATATGCCACCACCGGCCCTGGCCGGGTCGATCGTGGGCCCCTGGGCTGGCGCGCGGGCCTTCCTGGCCTATAGGCCGGGAGACCCTCCTCCTCCTCCTCTCCTCCTCCTCCTCCTCCTCCTCCTCCTCCTCCTCCTCCTCCGCCTCCTCCTCCTCCTCCGCCTCCTCCTCCTGTTTTTGGTGGTCTCTTTCGGGCCCTTCTGAAGTTCTGTTAGGCTGCTCGGGGAGCGCTTTGGGGCGTTTGGGGGCCTCTTTGGGCCGTCGCGTGGCGTCCCGGGGGCCTTGGACCGTCTTGGAGCTCTCTTGAGGCTGCCTGAGGCTGTCTTGGGAGCCGATCCAGGGCCCAGGGAGTGCCTGGCCGAGGCTGAGGTGGTGGTGCAGGGTTGGCGCCCCTCCGAGCAGTGTCATCGCCTCGTGGGGGCGCACGTCTTCCTTCCGCCGCCCTCCGCGCCCCTCCGCTGGCTTCCGCCGGAGGAAGGGCGGCCCCGTCTCGCTTCCGCCGTCCCTCCGCCGAGGAAGAGAGGACAACTCCTTCGATCCTCGAAGGCTCCGGCTCGCACGGTGGAAGGTGAGACTGCGGCAGAATGTTCCGGGGGATCGTCTCCACACAACACCGTCCCGCCCTGCCCAGCCGAGGCCAGGGCAGGATGGAGCAGGAAGAGGAAGAGAGAGAGAGAGAGAGACGATGAGAAATTGATGGAGGGGGCAAGGCGGAGAGCCCGGCACGTTAAAACAAAGTGTAGCGCATCGCATGGGAATGGGGAAGAGGGAGAAGATGGGAGGGTGGAGGGAGAAGGGAGCCGGAACTTGAAGGGAGGGATGGGACGGGAGTGGGGGGAAAGAGGGAGGGGAGACGAGGGGGAGGGGAGAGAGTGGAGCAAAGGAAATGATGACCCCGTCATCCTCCTCAGCACCATCACCGTCAGAATCACCACCACCAACAGATCATCACCACATCACCTCCGTATTATCCCCACCATCATCGTCACCATCATCACTGTCACGGACACGCCCTTCCACATTCATCCGTACCCCCAGATTCCGAGATCCCCCATCGTCATGATTTGTATCGCAAATTCGACCCCCAGGGGCCTAGGGTCTTGACCCATTTCCAGGAACTGGGTTTTCATCCCGAGTAGTTTGTTGGACGGTCCCTTGAAGCCGAAGACGTCCAAAAAACGCCCGCCTCTTGTTTTCACGACGCAAGGGGATCTGGGACATCCACACCCGCTTTGGGACGCTGGGCGTTGCTGCATGGGGGGCGATCGCACGGGGGGAAAGAACAAAGCATCGGTTGGTCCTTCTGGGCCCTGGGGGACCCCCTGAGGGCCCCTAAGGTGCACAACAACACGTCGGTTCTTCTTAAGCTTCTGGCAAGCTTACTTGCGTGGATGGGGAGGGGGGGAGGCAGCACGGATCGACGGGAAATCTGCGCTTCCAGGCATGTCGGGACCCCCACTTGCACGCCTCTTCGGTCCAGAGCTGCTTGAAAAAGCGGAGGAGGGGGGGGGGGAAACTGCCATGCAAGTATTGACTGCGCTCACCAGGGAGCAGGGGGAGGCGGGGGAGGCTTCTCAGAAGGAGGCTGCTTCTGAGACGGCGCCGGCCCTACATCTACAGACAGGGCCCGCGCCTTCCAAAAAGCAGCCTTCTTCTAAGAAGCCGTCCCCTCTCCCCCTGCCCCCCTCCCCTCCCCGTCCCGAAATTACACTCGCCAGAATCTAAATGTAAATACGCCCTGCTGTTGCAGGCAGGAGTGACCCTAGGCAAGAATGACCGTGAGTGCGCGGACCAAGGGGGCGCAAACGGAGGCCAAACCCAAGCGCGCAAGCAGCCGTTATCGGAGAGAGCGTGATCCACCGCCGCTTTACTGTGGAAAATTGCCCCCCTCGTCCTCCGGAACCCAGGGGTCCCCCCCCCTCCGAAAATCCCCCCTCCCCTGCTGGACCCCCCCCCTCCCTCCCCCCTGGCAAAACCCCCCCCTCCCCCCCCCCCCTCCCCCCCCCCCTCCCCCTCGAAAACCGAAGGGGGTCACTACCGGTTCGAACCCCCCGCCCCCCCCCCTCTCGAAAACCGGAGGGGGGGTCACTACCGGTTCGAACCCCTCCCCATCCCCCCACTCACCGCCAGCAAACGACTCCCGGTCCCTACCACCGTCCGCGCCACATCCCCCACTGTTGTTCCCAGCACCACTGTCCTCACCACCACTGTCCCCACTGGTTCCACCACCGTCCCTACTGTCCCCACCAGTGCTCCCACCACTGTCGCACTGTCCCACTGTCCCCACCACTGTTCCCACCACGGTTCCACTCTCCCCACTTTCTCCACGGCCCCAACCACTGCCCGACTATCCCCACTGTCCCCACTGTCCCACTGACTCCTCCGCTGTCCCACTGAGCTGTCTCACTGTTCCCACCACCACTGTCCCCACTGTCCCCACCACTGTCCCCACTGTACCTCTGTCCCATTGTCCCACCGCCGTCCTCGCCACCGCCTTCACCACTGTCCCCACCACCACTGTACCACTCCACTGTCCCACTGTTTCCACCTCCCACTGTCCCCACACCACTGTCCCCACCACCACCGTCCCCACCACCACTGTCCCCACTGCACCCCCCCTCGGTTTTCGAGGAGGGGGGGGGGGGTTCGAACCGGTAGTGACCCCCCCCGGTTTTCGATGGGGGGGGGGGTTCGAACCGGTAGTGACCCCCCCCTTTTCATGATGAACTGGGGGGGGGGAGGGGTTCGAATCAGTAGTGACCCCCCCCGGTTTTCTGGAGGGGGGGGGGAGGGTTTCGAACCGGTAGTGACCCCCCCCGATTTTTCGCCAGCAGCGGTAGAACACGCTCTTTCCGTTATCGCGAGGCGCTCTGCGATCGTACCAAGGGGGCGCAAGGGGGGGCCAAATCCGAGCGCGCCAGCAGCCGCTGTCGCTCGGCGCTCAGCGATCGGGGGAACCCCGCTGAGCGCGCACCAAAGATCTGAAGGGGCCCAAAAACACACAAATAAATACACACATAAATCGATTCCCTATATTTTCCCATATTTCCTGGGTTTCTGTCTTCCCCCCCACTGCCCGTATTTTCCCACATTTTCGGGGAATCGGCGATTAATTGTGCCTGTGTGTTTTCTCTCCTCCTGAAGATCACTCCGGCGAAGGGCCACTCTTCCATGAGATCCGACGTTACACATGCATTGCAACACAGTGAAATGCACCCCCGGAGCCCCGGACCCCACCTTCTGCGGCATGCTTCGAGCCGGATCGATCGGTGATGGCCCCGGGGCCCGAGATGGGGCGCATGCGCCGGTGGTGAAAAAAAGTTGCAACGCCAAGATCTCGAGGTCACGCGCAGTCGTGAGCCCGTTGGCGCCGACAGGGCGACTCCTCGCTGGCTTACGCCGGCCGTGGCCTTAATTGGTCCTTGCATGTGCACCCCGCGCGTTCTCGCGCTACTTATCTTGCGCTGTGCCCCAGCCTTGGTACTCACGCCCTCTGGACTTTTCCTTGCGGGCCGCTAATCAAAAAAGTAGTCGTGAGCCCGCACCACAAGTCGCTCCAGCGAGGGGTCGCTCTTACGCACAGGCTGAGGTCGGACATGACCTCCTACAGGCGGATGCTGGAAGGGAAGTCAAAGCAACACACAGTCAACACATGTCCAAAAGTCGTCAAAAGAGCACGAGAGATCGTGCCCAGACTAGGTCTTGATCATTTTGAACATCCTTCTTGTAGAGAGGCAGGCCCGACTTAACTTGCCTTAAGTCGAGCCTGTCCCCCTACAGGGGGAATATTCAAAAGTAGTCAAAAATAGTCGGGGGTCTATCTGTGGACCATTTTTGAATATGTTTGCGTATTTTTGTTATTTGTCGTCCAAGTTCCGCCTGTAGGAGGACATGCCCCACCTAAACTAGAGGCCTCCTAAATGGGGTCCGAGTAGATGGGGTCGACAGATCGCGCCGCATCGCCAATGCATCGCCGATGCATCCGCGATGCACCGGCGATGCATCGGCGACCTCGGCGATGCATCGGCGACGTCGGCGTGGGGAAACACGGTCCCCACATCGGGCCACATCGCCGATGCCTCGGCGATGCGGCGGGATCCTCCGGCTGGATCTACTCGGACCCCATCCAGGAGGCCTAGATAAATCTAGCCCGGAACGCAGCGCCTGCAGGACATGCCAGACCTAAGACTAGCCTTAGGTCGGGCACGGCCCCCGACAGGCCGATCTCCCACGAGAAGTTGAAAATACTCAAAACATGCTTCCAAATGGTCAAACACTACTTGTTCGATCGTCCTCAGACTATTTTTTTACTATTCCTGAACATTCCTCCTGCAGAGGCACACGCCCGACCTAACTCTAGAAGGCGTAGATCAAACAGGCCCGCACAAGGACCCCATCTAGGAGGCCTTGATAAAACTAGCCCGCAGCGCAAGAGGAAGAAACAAACACATAAACATAAACTTTTGGCACAGCGCGCAGATTTCTTGGATTCGCGCTGGACCCCCCTCCCTGGCGCGCGGAGCGTGCCAGGGGCGGCGCCGGAGGCGCCGCCGGGGGGCCCAGGCGCGGAGCCAAGAAATCCGCGCGTTTTTTAATGTGGTTTTCTTCTTCGAAGCGCAGCGCCCAAGGATATGCTCGCCGGCCGGGCCAGGCCAGGCGGGGCCGCCGCGGGGCTGCGGGGCCAACTGCAGGCACGCCCGCTTCTCGTCGGCCCGGCGGCTGGACGCGGACACCCTCGCCTGGCGGTAGCGGCGCGCCCAGAGCAGTTGGACGCCAGGAGGAGGAGGAGGAGGAGGAGGAGGAGGAGGGGAGGAGGAGGAGGTGGAGAAGGAGGAGGAGGAGGAGAAGGAGAGAGGAGGAAGAGGAGAGGCAGGAGGAGGAGGAGAGAGAGGAGGAGGAGGATGAGGAGGAGGGAGGAGGAGGAGGAGGAAAGGAGAGGAGGGAGAGGAGGGAGGAGGATGATGATGGATGAGGAGGATGATGATGGGGATGAGGAGGAGGAGGAGGAGGAGAAGGAAGGGGAGGAGGAGGGAGAAAAAGAGGAGGAGGAGGAGGAGGAGGAGAAGCCGATGTTTTTTTCGGTCGCGATCGGCAGCGGCCGATCGGCACTCCAAATCGGTCGCGACCGAGCGCGCCCGATCCCGAGGTATCGGTCGCGGTCGGTCGCCGCCGATCGCGGCCGATCGGTCGCGACCGATCGGTCGCGGCCGACGTCAAAGCAAGTCGGTCGCGACCGATACCGAAATCTGAAGCAAAAGCGGTGGCGACCGATCTCGTCAGTGAGCAGGGCGGGGGCAGGCGGTGGACCCAGGCCCCCTCGGGCGATGAGGAGATCCAAGAGCGGCCGGGTGACGTGTGCCCTCTTGGAGAGCAGCATCGCACGGGCCCGCTTCTTGGTCGCTGCGTGTCCTCTGGGAGTGCAGGTTCTCAAGCTGGGTCTTACGGATCTCCTGCATGAACCTGGCGCCTTCCGGCGGGATGGTGGACATCATGCACAGTAGCGCCTACGAGTGGATCTACCCCACCGTCAGGGTGTTCCACATCAACGTGCGCGCGCAGTGAAAAAAAACAAACAGAACGGAGGTTTTTCCGTTTTCTTCGGCGGGGGCCCTTATAAGGGCCCTCGCGCGGGCGCCAGAATCAGGATTCTCTATGTTGGCCTCGCGCAAGTCCGGGGAGGGGCGCGAGGTCCAGGCAGAGAGGAACAAGGCAACCACCGACGACGACGACAACGACTAAGACGAACTACGACGGCGAAGCGACACAACGACGACGAGCGACCGCAGCGAACGAAAACGACGCAGTCTCACGCCCCGCGCGGGCCGCAGTGCCCTTGCCGTTGCCCTTGCCCTTGAAGCCGGGACGAGGTTGACTTCGGGTGAGGATCATTCGAGAATCTCTGAGATCTGGCAATTCTGGGGGATGTCTCGGGCGACGCGGCCTGCCTGGAGCGTTCCGGAAGCTATGGGAGCGTTCTGGAACGCTCTGGAACGGACTTCTCCTCGTCCTATGGCCCGTCCGACGCTCCCGTGGGGCCAGGCCCGCAGGAGGAGAAGGGAGCGGGAGGGGGGGAGGGTTGGCAGATCCGAGGAGGAGGAGGAGGAGGAGGAGGAGGAGGAGGAAAAGGAGAAGGAGGAGGAGGAGGAGGAGAAGGAGAAGGAGAAGGAGGAGGAGGGGGAGGGGAAGGAGGAGGAGGAGGAGGAGGAGGAGGAGGAGAAGGAGGAGGAGGAGGAGGGGGGGAGGGGGGGAGGGGGATCCGAGGAGGGCGAGTGGAGGCCACAGCAGCTGGAGCCAAGTTTCTTTTGTTCCTCGTCCGCGAGAACGCCCGTGATCCCCCCCCCCGAGCGGCTTCAACGTGCTGTCTGTATCCAGAGTCTCTTGAGCAATCGCATGGGTAGCATCATGGGGATGGGCCTCGCTCGCCTGGTATCCGCAGCCAACTCCAAACGAGGAGGCCACGACGCGCCAAATGCGAGCCGACACTTCTGGAAGAAGCTATCCCCCCCGCCCCGCCCCGCCCCCCCACCCCTGGCCACGTCACGATTCGCGCTGGCGCTGTCTGGGAATGAGCCCTTCCTGGGCATTCCCAGGCAGCGAGGGCGCGCAGCGACGATGCGACTGGCCCCCTGCCCTCCTCCCCCCCCCCTCTCCCGTCGCGCCCGTCATCGCCAGGCAATAAAGAACCATCTCTTGGCCTTCGGGGCTCCCCCTCGTCGACACGGCTGGACGCAGCTCGGGAAACTGGTGCGCTTGGACCCCGGGAAGGGTCCAGGGATCGATTTTGAGTTGCCGTTGACTGAACTCGCCCTGCTCCGAGAAGAGGGGCAGGGAATCAGGGGAGGAGGGAGGAGAAGGAGGAGGAAGGAGAGAGGCGAAGGGAGGATGACGGATGAGGGAGGATTGAGTCGAAATGAGGGGGGCAGGGAAGGAGGCATCGAGGCGGGGAGGGAGAGGGGAGGAGGATTGAGGAAAGAGAGGGGGGGAGGGAGGAGGGAGGGCTGGAGCAAGGACTTTGACGCCTTCTGCTCTGTTTGGGCCTCTTGGTAGGCCCTCGTGGCCCCCAGCTGAACGCAGACGCGAAGAGCTGGTCGGGGTGGTGTCCAGTAGGGGAGCGGGAGTGATTTCGGGCGACAGGACCTCGGAGGACCCAGGCATTCAACGTTCTGGAACGAACTGGGCGGCTGGGCTTTCCGATTATGGGCCCAGTCAGCCCATTTTGGGGCCCTGGGACCATCAATCGAAGGACCGCGGCAGACAGCATGTCCCGGGCAAGGAAGGGGTCGAAGGGTGCAGGACATATGCCGCGATAGAGTCACGACGTCGGAGGTTTTTCGGGAGGAGAAGGATGAGGCGGAGGAGAAAAGCAAACCAACATCACACACGCGACGATCTCTTCCAGCGCCTGGCTCAGCGCGCATGCGTCGCACGACCGCAGCAGCTGCCTGAAGGGACTTCGGAGGGCAACGCCACCATCAACTACGTCGTCTTCAACCAACTCCCCGAGGTAACCATGGGAAGCGCGACTTAAGGTCGCCATCGCCTTCACGGGCTGCTACGCTCAGCACAGCGGAACAGATCGTTACCTCGAGCAGAATGGACGACTCGACACGGACCCCGACGCACCACCTAAGGTCCTTGAAGAAGGCGAAGCGAGAGTCATCTACTCTCAACGTGGCCACCAACGCCAACTTGCCTTGGACTACGAGCCGCCCTCAGGCAGGCGACAGGACACGAGCTGCGCTGAAGGCTCCGAACGTGTACCTGAGCATGGTCAACGAGGGATCCTCCCAGAGCGTTCTACTATAGAGTAAGTCTACATCGCAATGGGCATCCCAGCGATTTCCAGCGCAACTCAGAGGCAATGGAGGAGCGATGCCGAACTAATTATCGAGTAGACCGGAATCCACATCTTCTTGCACAGCAAGACCCACAGGGATGTTGAGAAGCACCTCGAGCATTGGCCCTGCAGAGCGATGCACGTACCCTACTACTAGAAGGTGCTGTGGCACACCCTCAAGGCAGACGGGACGATGAAGACCGAGCCGGAGTCATAGCGACTCCACAATGAGCCTACGCGCGAAGCAGTGAATGAACAAGTCTACAAGCTCGCAGGCTATGAGGACGCAGAGTGGATGTCCTTTTCATTCCAAAATCTACAACTTCGAAGAACACGAAAGGGTACGTACATCTCTACGGGGCCAATAAGGATGGCGAAGCCGTTGAAGGAAGTGAGGCCGTGTCCCTGCTTCATTACGTCGCAGGCGCTATGGCAACATCAGGAGCCAACGCCATCCACTCGAAGACCGACAACCTGTTCACAGGGCCATGCAGCTGGCATCTGAACACAGAGATGACGGGAGGACTACACGCAGATCTGACGACCCGAGTGGAAAGCATGTGCCACTGGTCGAAATCACGAACGATGAATTGGATTGGCTCAACCCCTACAAGGCGGAATACAAAGGCTCACGTACCAGTGCTGGCGAATTCATCTCAAGGTATAAGCTACGAAACGGCCAACCCGCCAACGGCCAACCGAAGTGGGGACCTCGTGCAGCACTGAAGCTCATCGGACCCGCAGACGTGAACATCATCGAGGGCTCATCGACGGCAAAATGCGACCCGAGAGGAGGAGACCCAATCATGCCAACACTGGTCCCAGGGCGGGCACGACAGGAACCAACCGAGGGGAGAGAACCTGAGAGCGCATCACCGTCGGCGGCTTCATGACAGCACAGGTAAGCGAGATCCCTACCATGGGGCCTGACCTACGAAACCGTACACACGGAGAGCTGGCCAAGATGAGGCTACGACGCCACGACGGCGTCGAGGATTACCCACGAAGTGCGCCTGCTGGTCGCTGTCTTCAAACCGCACCAACCGGCAGCCGTGCATATGCCGCACACTTGGGCAACAAAACACAGAACAAACAACCAACGGAAACGATCACGCCCACCTCGGCACGGACCAAGGCAATATCAACCGCAGATGCAACGGCGGAACGCACACGCTGCTGTACCAGCGAGTGCCCGACTGGCACCGACCCAGCCGTGCCTACGGGTGGATCCACAACGGACCTCATCAGAGGCGCCAGCGGCACTTTCCTTCCCACCGAGCCAGAGGACGTGGGACCCGATCCGACTGTCGGTGGCTGCGGGAGCTTGGCCGATGCCCCGGACTTCCCAACAAGACGGCAATCGGCTACCATGCGTGGAGTCTTGGGAACCTTGCAAGGCCTCCAATCCAACCGGTGGTGTGGAGGAGGAGGAGGAGGAGGAGGAGGAGGAGGAGGAGGAGGAGGAACAGGAACAGGAACAGGAACAGGAACAGGAACAGAAACAGGAACAGGAGGAGCTGGAGGAGGGTGCGGAAGGTGTGGAGGAGGGTGCGGAGGAGGATAAGGAGGAGGAGGAGGAGTAGGAGGAGGAGGGTGCAGAGGAGGAAGTGGGTTCGGAGGAGGAGGAGGAGGAGGAGGGTGCGGAGGAGGCGGAGGAGGAGGATACGGGAATAGAGAGAGAGAGAGAGAGAGGGGGAGGGTGGGTCGTTGGAAGACCCCAGAGGGACGTCATTGGTCCTTCTGGGGGCAGGAGCTTTGGAGTCGAATCCGTGCCCCTCACTGGGCCAGAGGGCTCACACCACTACCCGTACTTCAGATCCCTGTAGCTTGGAGTCGGCAACATGGAAAAAAAACTAGAGATCGAGCAATAACCTCCAGAACATCACCGACATTGGCCGCTCTAGGTCTTCGTGGGGGTCTTACTCCGGCCACTGTAGGCAGTTTACGTGCCTTTTGGATAGTCTTAGGGAGCTGTGGCTGCATTCTGGGGCCACTTCGGGCCCTCTGGGGCGTCCCGCTGGTGTCCCTTCGGTGTCCCGTCAGTGTTCCGCGGTGGCCCGTAGTGCCCCGTGGCGCGGTGTCCCGTGGTGCTGCGTGGTGGCCCTTGAGGTCGAGAGTGAGATCGATAGTGAGATCGATAGTGAGATCGATTGTGAGGTCAACAGTGAGGTCGATAGTACGATCGACTGTGATTTCGATGGTGAGATCTATGGCGATATCGATAGTGCCATCGGTTATGAGATCGACCGTGAGGCGGTGATGTGGTCACTCGTGGGGTAGGTTGCGAGGTCGATGGGGGAGTTAATTGAGTGAGATAGATCGCACAGTGAGCTCGACGTGAGATGGACTGAGTGAAACGCTGGTTCCTCCCCCCCCCCCAAAAAAACAACAACTCCCCGTCACCCGACGGGTGGTCGCAGTAGAAGTACGAGCTGATGTAAAGCACTGCTGTCCCCTTTGGCGGCGCGCAGAGGGGGGTGGGGGGAGGGGGGAAGGCGTCTTAGAAGCACCCCTGCTTCTTAGAAGGCGCGGGCCCTGTCTGTAGATGCAGGGCCGGCGCCTTCTAAGAAGCAGCCCCCTTCTGAGAAGCCCTCCCCCCTCCCCTACCCCCCTCTGCGCGTGGCCGAGTCCCCCCTCCCTTCTGAGAAGCCTTCCCCCATCCCTTCTGAGAAGCAGCCCCCCTCTGCGCGTGGCCGAGAGTCCCCCTGGAGCCGCCCCCGTCCGCCTGCCTGGAGCTTGTGCACGCGGAGCGCCCTGTCTTCGACCTCCTTCTTGCCCCCCTCCTCGTGCGGCGCCGCCGCGCGGGCGCGGCCGAGGGCGGGTGGCAACAACCAGGGGGGGAGCCTGGGCACCCCACGGGGGGGGGGGCTGCAGAAGCGGGCGAGGGGTTCTCCTCCCTGAGGTCCGACGCTCCAGCGAGAATTGGAGCAGGCGGTGTTTGGCTGTCGTCGGCCTTCGAGGGCCCTCGCCGTGTCCGGGCTTGGCCAAAGGTCGGGGAGGAGCGGAAGACGGCTATCGCGGCGGGACTGGTTCCCGAGGGAACTTTCCAAGAAGCAGATCGCACCCTGCAGCCCACGCGGTGGCCCTCGTAGGGCCCTCTCGGAGACCCGTCGAGGCCTCGGGGAGCCGTCCAGGAGCTCGTTCTTGCACGTGCTCTGGGCCCTCTCGGAGCCAGCTTGGACCACCTCAGTCGTTTAGGCGGCGCGACGAGCACCGGGGAGGGACCAAGGGCATGAGCAATGCCAGAGGATCATGGCAAGTGCTTGGTGAATAATGGTGAAGGCATTGAAGGAACCACTGGATAAGGAATCCAGGGTCTGGAAGCCCGCGGAACTCCAATCGTGGATCGGCCATGGGTATCACCGCCGCCCTCATTGGATAAGGAATCCTCGATGGTCTGAAGCCTCCTAGGCACAGTTCTTAACGAACGCCCCCGCCGTATTGACTTCTGCATCGGGTCCCGTATTGCGACTCGCTGCTGATGCGGAAGTCGCTTTGGGGTTTTTCCTGTGCTCAGAGAAGTGCTGGCAGATTTCGGGACCGCGGCAAGCTCCGCATAGCGTTCCGCTGCAGACGCGGACATCATCGTGCATTGAGTATCGCGTCCCGTTCGTAGCACGGAATCACTACTGCATTGTCCCGCTTCCGTTCTTCATCGGTTGTGCCACGACTTTTGCATGAGTCGGTCGGCATCCACGGTGCAACTTCGCTGCCGATCGGAACGCATACATGATACCGGACTATGCTGGCCCAGCCCGTGATGCGCAGACCATGATTCTTCAGGATATCTGATGGCGATTAAGGAGAGACGCGTGAATGTGATAAGCGGGAACGTCGTTTCCAGCAAGAGGGAAGCGAAACAAAAACAGTATGTTCTAGCAGAAGTACCAGTTCCAACGGCAGACGATTCAAACTCCAGGGAGTTTGGAGGAAACCACGGCCAATAGCAGTGTGTATGACAATGTCCGCCACCGTGCCGCTGGGAACGGAGTGGGCGTGTCCTCAAGTCCTTTGCGTGATCCCTCAAGCACTCCTGAGGAATATTTAAGGCGCTGCCCAGAATTCTCAAATCTTCTGGGGCTTGCCGCGGTTCCCCTGTGGTCCGGCGCATCTTCTCGCCTTTCGGGCCCAAGAGGGCCCCAAGACGGGCCAGGAGGGCGCCAAGAGGCCGCCAAGACGGTACAAGAGGGCCCCGAGTCGCCGAAATATGATTCCAAGACGCCTCAGATGGCCTCAAGCTGGCCCAAGAGGCATCCAAGCCGCCCCAAGTGGCCTCCCCGAGGCCTCCCAAGGTCCCCAAGAGGCAACAGTCATTGACCTTACGGAGGTTTTTGAAGGATGTTGTCGATCTCGCCTTCTGCTTTCCGACGCTCCAAGACGGCATAAGAGCGCCCCAAGACGGCCCAAGAGGCGCCCAAGATGGCCAAGAGGGCTCAAAGATGGCCCCAAAAGGGGCCCAAGAGAGGGAATACGAACCGAAAATCCCACCAGCCCTTTGGGCGTGAGTGGTTTAGCGAGCTCTCTCTGTTCTCAACCCCCCTTCTTCCCCTTCGGGGAGGGGTTTACCCCTCCCCCTACCCCCTCCCCCTGGGCCTGGAGAGGCAGTCCGGCGGGTGGTCAGAGGGGTCGTTTTCGACTCCTGGGAGGGCCAAAAAACGACTACCCTCACTAGGATTCTGGCCCCGACGGGGGGACGGAGATAGGCCCCTCTGCTCTTCTTTGAAGCCAAACTAATTGATTTTACTACGGTTTTGGCCCCATTTTGGCGTCCTGAGGGGGCCGCGCTCATCTTCCTTCATAGCAAAATCATTGATTTTACGAAGGTTTTGGGCTCATTTTGTCCTTCTCAGGGGGCAGCCCTCATTTGCGCTTCTGAGGAGGTCGCAAGAGGCCCCAAGATGACCCCAAGAGGCCCCCAGGAGGCTCCCAAGAGGCCTCCAAGAAGCCCCCAAGAGGCCCCCAAGAGGCCCCAAGAGGCCCCCAAGAGGCCCCCAAGAGGCCCCCAAGAGGCCCCAAGAGGCCCCAAGAGGCCCCCAAGAGGCCCCCAAGAGGCCCCCAAGAGGCCCCCAAGAGGCCCCAAGAGGCTCCAAGAGGCCCCCAAGAGGCCCACGAGGAGCCCGAACGACTCACACCAGGACGAGGGGCCCGAACGACTCACACCACGAAGAGCCCGAACGACTCACACCACAAGGAGGGGCCCGAACGACTCACACCAGGACGAGGCGCCCGAACGACTCACACCACGAGGAGCCCGAAACGACTCACACCACGACGCGGGCCCCGAACGACTCACACCACGAGGAGCCCGAACGAGTCACACCAGGAGGAGGGGCCCGAACGACTCACACCAGGATGAGGGGCCCGAACAACTCACACCACGAGAAGCCCGAACGACTCACACCAGGACGAAGAGCCCGAACGACTCACACCACGAAGAGCCCGAACGACTCACACCAGGAAGAAGGGCCCGAACGACTCACACCAGGACGAGAAACCCCAAACGACTCAAACCACGAGGAGCGCTTTCTCTCCCTCCTCCTCCGCCTCGTCCTTCTCCCGCTCCCCCCACAAGGAGGATGTACAAGGAGGCGGGAGGAAGGAGGAACAGGGGAGATATGCGGGGCCAAGCGGACACACGCCTGAAAAACACGACTGTCGGCATGCTTCGCAAGAGTTGCTGCTGTGAGATGGGCTGGTGGGGATACGCGAAGCGTAAAGAATCCTAGTCTTCCGCCCCGGGAGGCCCCAAGAAGGCCCGAAGAGGCGCGTGAGAGGCCCCAAGAGGCACCCAAGAGGCCTCCGAGAGGCCCCAGGAAGCCCCCAAGAGGCCGAAACGAGGCCCCAAAACAGCGCCCAAGAGGCTTCAAAACTGCCCCGAAGAGGCCCCCGAGAGGCCCCCCAGGAGATCCCAAGAACATCCACTACTATGCTTCATACTCACAACCCAGGCACGGTGGCGGGATGGGCCGAAGGCTACTAGGTCCGCCGCCCCCTTTTGATTTATCAAAGGGGTGCCTGGCGTGCCGGATGACATGGTTTTTAGTTTTGATTCTTTTTCCAAAAGAACTCTCCCTGGGGCTTCGGCCCGTCCCGCCGGCCACCCAGCAAACCCGCCTGTCGTCGCCTTTCTTGCCCCAAGATGGCCCAAGATGGCCTCCAAGACGGCCAAGATGTCCCAGGATGGCCTCCAAGTTGCTCCAAGACCGCCAAAATGGCCTCAAAGACGGCTATGATGGCCCCAAGTCGGCCCAAGACGGCCCAAGATGGCCTCAAGATGGTCTAAGACGGTCCCAAAGGCCCGCAAGAGGCCTCCAAGACGGCCCAAGAGGTCTCCAAGAGGTCCTCCAGGAAGGCCCGACGAGGCCAAAATCATTTATTCCCCTTAGGTGTTTGAAGGATTCTGGCATTTGCGCCTCTTCTGCTTTCCGACGGCCCAAGACGGCCCCAAGAGGGCCCCATGACGGCCCAAGAGGCCTCCAACACGCCCAAGATGGCCTCCAAGACGCCCAAGATGGCCTCCAAGACGGCCCCGAAGAGCCCCAAGATGGCCCCAAGTCGGCCCAGAAAGGCCCCCAAGACGGCTCCCGACGGCGTCAGACATGCCAGGAACCCACCAAGATGGCCGAAGTTGGCTCGAAGCTGGTCCAAGACGGCCCAAGAGGCCCCCAAGAGGGCCTCCAGGAGGGCTCGAAGAGGCCAGAATCATTGGTTTTCCTTAGGTGTTTGACGGATTGTGGCATTTGCTTCTTCTCGGCCTTCCGACGGCCCGAGACGGCCCAAGAGCCCCAAAAGATCGCCGAAAGATCGCCCAAGAGGCCTCCAAGATGGCCCCAGAACAACTCAAAAGGGCCCCAAGACAGCCCCAAGAGGCCCCCAAGACGGCGGCCTCCAAGACGGCCCTGGAGCATTCCAAAAGGGCCCCAAGTCGGCCCATAGAGGCCCCCCAAACGGCTTCCGACGGCGTCAGACGGACCAGGAACCCACCAAGATGGTCGAACGTAGCCCTAAGATGGCCCAAGACGGCCCAAGAGGCCTCCAAGAGGGCCTCCAGGAAGGCCCGGAAAGGCCAAAATCATGTATTTACCATTGGTTTTTGACGGATTGTGGCACTTACTTGTTGTTCTGCCTTCCGACGGCCCGAGACGGCTCAAGTGCCCCCAAGTATCGTCCAAGAGGCCCAAGACACGGCCCCAAGAGGTCCCCAAGACGGCCCAAGAGGTCTCCAAGACGCTCAAGATGGCCTCCAAGACGGCCCAAGAGCCCTCCAATACGTCCCCCAAGAAAACCAGAAAGGGTCAAAATGGCCTCCAGACGGCCAAGATGACCTTCAAGATGCCCACGTGTTCCCCGAAGGCTTTCCAAACCGATTCGGGGAACACATGGTCCGATAGCTTGGCAGGTCTGGCCTCAACGTTCGGCCACATAGGCGCTTCCAAAAAGGCAGGGGGCGGCGGTGATTCGCCGTAGGCGTCTTCGATCCGCCGCCCCCTGTCGATTCATCGCAGGGGTGCCTGGCGTGCTAAATTATGTCGGTTGGGGTTTTGGTTCTTTTTCCAAAAATACTCCCCCTGGGGCTTAGGCCCGTCCCGCCGGGGTCCCGGGAGGATTGCCTGGGAGCTCCATCCAGAAAAAAACCCTAGAAGACGGCTCAAGATGGCCTCCAAGATGGGCACGTTGGCCCAAGATGGCCTCCAAGATGGCATCCAAGTCCGCCCAAGATGGTCCAAGACGGCCTCCCAGACGGCCCCAGAGAGTCCAAGATACCTCCAAGGTCGCCCGAGAAGTCTCCAAGACGGCACAAGACGACCCAAGAGGCCTCCAAAAGGTCCTCCAGGAGGGCTCGAAGAGGCCAGAATCATTGATTTCCCGTAGGTTTTTGAAGGATGTTGGCATTTGCTTCTTCTCGGCATTCCGTCGGCTCAAGACGGCCCAAGAGGCCCCAAATATCGCCCCAAAATCGCCCACGAGGCCTCCAATATGGCCCCAGAACGGCCCAAGAGGCCCCCAAGACGGCCCCAGGAGGCCCCCAAGACGGGCCAAGAGGCCTCCAAGACGCCCAAGATGGCCTCTAAGACGGCCCTGGAGCTCCCCAAGAAGGCCCCAAATCGGCCCAGAGAGGCCCCCCAATCGGCTTCCGACGGCGTCAGACGGACCAGGAGCCCACCAAGATGGCAGAAGTTGGCTCTAGGCTAACCCAAGACGGCCCAAGAGGCCTCCAAGAGGGCCCCCAGGAGGGCTCGAAGAGGCCAGAATCATTGGTTTTCCTTAGGTTGTTGAAGGATTTTGGCATTTGCTTCTTTTCTGCCTTCCGACGGCCCGAGACGGCCCAAGAGCCCCCAAAGATCGCCCCAAGATCGCCCACGAGGCCTCCAAGATGGCCCCAGAACGGCCCAAGAGGCCCGCCCCCAAGACGGCCCCAAGATGCCCCCAAGACAGCCCAGGAGGCCGTTAAGACGCCCAAGATGGCCTCCAAGATGGCCCTGGAGCATTCCAAGAAGGCCACAAGTCGGCCCACAGAGGCTCCCCAAACGGCTTCCGACGGCGTCAGACGGACCAGGAGCCCACCAAGACGGCCGAACATGGCCCTAAGATGGACCAAGACGACCCTCCAGGAAGGCCCGAAAAGGCAAAAATCATTGATGTCCTCCTCCTCCTCCTCCTCCTCCTCCTCCTCCCGCCTCTCCTCCTCCTCTTCCTCCTCCTCCTCCTCCTCCTCGTCAGCCTCCTCCTCCTCCTCCTCCTCCTCCCTCCCTCTCCTCCTCCTCCTCCTCCTCCTCCTCCTCCTCCTCCTCCTCCTCCTCCTCCTCGTGATCTTCCCCGCCATCGTCCCCAAGCGTACCCTGAAAGGTTTCCACAACGGCTGGGGGATTACATGGTCAGATACCTTGACAGAGCTCTTGCCACAATACTCGGCCACACGGGCGATTCCAGAAGGCAGGGAGCGACGGTGATTCGCCTTAAGCGTCTCCGATAATAAGAACGTTCAACATCAGCGATGGCATGGAAATGTCTGCCAACCCCATCCTCCCAACCTACCAAGATTCTTCCTGAAGAATAACAGCGGCATAGGCATGCTTACGGAGCTCCGCGCGGAGTTCCTTGATCGGCGCTGGAAACCCCGCCCTGGCGCGCGGAGCGCCCCAGGGGCGGCGCCAGAGGCGCCACCATTGGGGTTCAACAGAGGATCCAAGAAATCCGCGGGGAGCTCCAAAATTTATGCTCATGCCGCTTTCCCTTCTTCGAACAGAGGCGATCGAAATCCCTGGCTGTTCCCGAGCCAGCTTGCAGGCTAGCAGCCACTCGCTGCACGTGCACGGCCGTGCGCGGAAGCGGCAAGGGGCCCCAAGAGGCCTCCAAGAGGCCCCAGAGACGCCCGACAGGAGCCTCCAAGAAGCCCCACGGGCCCTCTCGGAGGCCTCTTGTCGACGGTGGCTGGATGCGTCGGAGGCCTTCGGCGGAGCACCCTATGGGGCCACGCAACGTGTGAGGGGTGCGCCGAAATGGCGGTGCAACTGCATGCGGACCCTGGGGCCTTCGGTGGAGCATCCTGTGGGGCCACGAAACGTGTGAGAGGTGCGCCGCAATGGGGGTGGAACTTCATGCGGACCTTGCCACTGGGGCCTTCCGTGGACCACCCTGTGGGGCGACGGAACGTGCGAGGGGTGCGCCGAAATGGAGGTGCAACTGCATGCGGACCCTGCCACTGGGGCCTTCGGCGGAGCACCCTATAGGGCCACGCAGCGTGTGAGGGGTGCGCCGAAATGGAGGTGCAGCTGCATGCGGACCCTGCCATTGGGGCCTTCGGTGGAGCTCCTTATGGCTTATGGGACCACGAAGCGTGCCAGGGATGCGCCAAAAGGGAGGCAGGGTTCCTTCTTCAGGGCCCCGGCTGTACATCGCCGTGACGAAAGTTTCTATCAATTTGCCTGTTGGAATGACGCGGTCGTGCGGAGTAGTTCGGAGTAGTTTTCCTAACACTGCTCCGCGCGCAATCGCATCCCGCTCGATAATGTATCTGTCAATTTGCCTTTTGGAATGACGCGCTCGTGCGGAGTAGTTCGGAGTATTTTTCCTAACACTGCTCCGCGCGCGCAGTCGCATCCCGCTCGATAATGTATCTGGTTCGGCGCGGGGTAGTTTCCGATCCCGTTGTGGGGGTTACAGGGTCATTAACGTCTCCGGGGTCGGAAACTACTCCGCCGAACGATCCCAGCATCATGTCATGTTAGGAATCTTGAGAGGGATGGGAGAGATCTTCATCAGAGCAAATTGAAGAAACATTTGTCACGGCTGTGTATCGGGGGCCAGACCGCGAGCGTGGCGCGCGGCAAGGGGGCTCTCCGTCGAGACGCCGTCGACCGTGCGCCCGCTCTCGTCGACCTCCAGGGCCTGCGAGGAAAGAGGGGAATCGCTTGGGACCGAAGCGATTCCCCCCTGTCTGGGAGGGAGAAGGAAGACACGCGCCGCACTGAACCGCACTAGACAAGACTAAGCGGCACTAAATTGGAGCTGGGGTTGGCCAGGGTGCTAAAAAAGGCTCCCATGATTTGCCGCCTGATTCGGTGCACGCGTCCTCCGACGTTGTGGTGCGGCCGAGAAAATGTAAGGATCTCGAAGCCATTGGCCTCCACCGAGCCTGAACTCACGAATCAATTCGCAAGGGCATTGATGGGCGTTGCAGATATACGAGTGCAGTTATCACTGTCACCGAGAACGCTGATGTGTGTGGTTGGGGCCATTCCCTCCTGCTGATCCGCCAGCTCCCGCCCCCCCCATGTACAGCACCTCCCCTGGTTTATCGAGCATCACACAATGGTGTGCTCCGCTTGGGGGGGAGGCCGTCGCTCTCCAGGTCACACCGGGCAGCGGGTAGAAATGACCCCACCAACACGGGGACGGATGGGCGGGAGGGGTACGTAGCCCCTCGAGATCAAACGCATGTTTTCTCCCGCGACGTGGCGGCGCCCCATGACCTCAAACACTTCAATGTTCGCGCCGACACTGGCGACTGCAAGCACAAACGTCGGGCTCCATGGGCCGCGTTTCGCGCGCCGATCATCACGAGCAGCTTGCGCTTGACTTCGGGGAGGGCTGTTGGAGTCTAGGGGGGAGGTCGTGGCTCTTCAGGTCACGCCGGGCAGCGGACAGAGATGGCATCACCAACAGGGGAACGGATAGGCGGGAGGGCTGCAGGATGCCAGGCGCGGCGCAGGCGCGCCCAGCTTGCCGCACGCCCTTCTCCCATCTCCTATGTGCCCTCCCCCCTCGCGGCGGGAGCACGCACCTCGTGCGCCAGGGCGTGAGGCGTCGTGAAGCCCACAGTTCCATTCGATTGCATGTTGGGGGTCCTCCTCCTGCTCCTCCTCTTCCTCCCCCTCCTCCTCCTCCTCCTCCTCCTCCTCCTCCTCCTCCTCCCCCTCCCCCTCCCCCTCCTCCTCCTCCTCCTCCTCCTCCTCCTTCCTCCTTCCTCCTCCTCCTCCTCCCCTCCTCCTCCTCCTCCTCCTCCTCCTCTCCTCCTCCTCCTCCTCCTCCCCCTCCTCCTCCTCCTCACTCCTCCTCCTCCTCCTCCTCCTCCTCCTCCTCCTCCTCCTCCTCCTCCTCCTCCCTCCTCCTCCTCCTCCTCCTCCTCCTCTCCTCCTCCTCTCCTCCCTCCTCCTCCTCCTCTCCTCCTCCTCCCTCCCTCCTCCCCTCCTCCTCCTCCTCCTCCTCCTCCTCCTCCTCCTCCTCCTCCTCCTCCTCCTCCTCCTCCTCCTCCTCCTCTCCTCCTCCTCCTCCTCATCCTCCTCCTCCTCCTCCTCCTCCTCCTCCTCCTCCTCCTCCTCCTCCTCCTCCTCCTCCTCTCTCCTCCTCCTCCTCCTCCTCCTCCTCCCTCCTCCCCTCCTCCTCCCCCTCCCCCCCTCCCCCTCCTCCTCCTCCTCCTCCCCTCCTCCTTCCTCCTCCCTCCTCCTCCTCCTCCTCCTCCTCCTCCTCCTCCTCCTCCTCCTCCTCCTCCCTCCTCCTCCTCCTCCTCCTCCTCCTCCGCCTCTCCTCCTCCTCCTCCTCCGCCTCCGCCTCCGCCTTCCGCCTCCCTCCTCCTCCTCCTCCTCCTCCTCCTCCTCCTCCTCCTCCTCCTCCTCCTCATCCTCCTGCTCCTCCTCCTCCTCCTCCTCCTCCCTCCTCCTCCTCCTACTCTCCTCCTCCTCCTCCTCCTCCTCCTCCTCCTCCTCCTCCTCCCCCTCCCCCTCCTCCCCGTCCTGCTCCTCCTCCTCCTCCTCCTCCAGGACGTGGCGGCAGGATCCATCAGCATCGAATCGGAAAATCGAGTCGGATCGGAACGTGCGTCGAATCGGACCGCATTGGCACGGCGCCGAAATCGGATCGGATCGGCTGCGCCAGGATGCACAACAGCGCCATGTAGGCGTCGGGTAGCACCGCATCGGCGGGTAATAAAAATCTAACTGGACCGGGCCAGCCGAAATCGACATCGAATTGCATCTATCGGAACGACACGAACCCTGGTGAGGGTCGGGGAAGAGCAATGCGGAGAACCTCGGCAGGGAGAACTGGCCACCGCGTTGCCCTCAGCAGGTAGGGATTCGGGCAGTGGGGGCGAGGGTGACGTGCGGAGAAGGGCCAGGTCGGCCGTCGCAAAAGCACCGGGCGAGGCCCCGCAATGCGACAGACGAAGCCACCAACAACGAAAAAACGGGCTGCGAAGCAAGAACAGCCACTGCCACGATTCATTGAATGTTCCGAAACCTGGGCCAACTTTCTGGCAAAGTGGTGTTGCGCGCCAGCCTCGCGCGGGCAGCATCAGTCACCTGCGAGACGGTAGGAACTTGACAGCCCTCTCAAAAGCTGGTGAGGAAACGCTGCACCAAAATACATATGGGAAGGTCTCCCGGGAATCGGCGCAACTGCGGGCACGCGGGCGGGCGCAACCTGCCACAGATGCAGAAATGCTGCGGCAAAAACCACCACAGCCAAGCTGCTGGCCTCTGCAAGAACGCAGGCTGGCGATTCGGCTGCATAGCGGACGGCGCCAGTATCCCGCAGAGCCATGCTCTTCGCACACGGGCCAGGTCACTCCTGACGCATGTTGTCTATGCGGAGTGCGCGGAGCCCATGGGCTTTCACGCCCTGCCCCCCATCGGCGAGCCATTGTCTACCCGTCGGCGTGACATCAGGTCCCGCTTGCACGCAATGTTGACACAGCAGCGCAAACGTCCTATATCGCGCGGAGGTGAACTTCATCATCATCAGAATCATCATCACCATCATCATCATCATCATCATCATCATCAGCATCAGCATCATCATCATCATCATCATCATCATCATCATCATCATCATCATCATCATCATCGACCAGAACAGCGACCACCGGCAATGCTGGAACGGCACGGCGGCGGACGTTGCCGCTGACGGCTGGGTGCGTCCTATGTCGCGCGGAGGCGGACACTCCCACCGAAAGGCTCCTTCACAAGAGGCGTTAACGATGAACGTCGATGCGTGCTGAAATGTGGGACGTTCGATGCCATTTTCTTGTATTACGCCCCTGGCATACACCCGCGCCTGGAGTGCGCTCTGGCATCACTTCCGGAGGACGTGCAACGTGCGACCGTTGCCTTGACACTTCGCGCTACGCACAAGATCTTCCTGAGGGTCGCCCGCGGGTCCGTGGCAGCGAGCGCGAAGGCCACGAGTCATGGGCCAGCCTGGAGCCGTGCGCGCGACTGCGCAGCGGACAACAGCCTCTCATCGCCCTCTCATCCTTCCCGCTGCCTCCAAATCCCACACACACACACACACACACACACACACGCACGCACGCACGCACGCACGCACGCACGCACGCACGCACGCAGACACAGACACAGACACAGACACAGACACAGACACAGACACAGACGCAGACACAGACACAGACACAGACACAGACACAGACACAGACACAGACACAGACACAGACACAGACACTGACACAGACACAGACACAGACACAGACACAGACCCAGACCCAGACCCAGACCCAGACACGGACACGGACACAGACACAGACACAGACTCAGACTCAGACTCAGACTCAGACACAGACACAGACACAGACACAGACACAGACACAGACACAGACACAGACACAGACACACACACAGGCACAGACACAGACACAGACACAGACACAGACACAGACACAGACACACCCACACACACGCACACGCACACGCACACGCACACGCACACACACATCCAGTAACGATACATACCCTCCGATAATTAAGCCCCGCACGTCTCACGCACAAGCTGGCGCTGCGAAGCAAACTGCAGTGCCGTTGGAATCGCGATGCGCAGCCAAGGCGAGATTTTTTCTGTCACCGCGCACACATGAAACGTCATACCCGTGTCAGTGAGGCCAGGCGCCAGGCCGACCACATGCAAGAAAGAGAGAGAAAGAGAGGCAGGGCGGCAGCGGCAGAGACGGCGGCGAAGAGAGACAGGCGTGCCTGGCGCGTGAGAGCCAGGAGCGGGAAGAGAACACACAGCCAGGAAGAGGAGGAGGACAAGGAGGAGGCCAGGCGATAGAGGAGGAGGAGGAGGAGGAGGAGGAGGAGGAGGAGGAGGAGGAGAGAACCACCTCCTCCACCTTTGACACCGCAAACCCGACTGAGGGCCCAGGCGCTGCGGCTCCCCGATAAGGAGGTGCTGGCACGGCTCGAGCTTGCGCGTGCGCTGCGCGGCAGGGAGCAAGACGGCTTGGCGCCGCCCCCCTCCTCGCCTGGGTTCCTTCTCCTCCTCCTCCTCCTCCTCCTCCTCCTTCTCCTCCTCCTCCTCCTCCTCCTCCGTCTCCTCCTCCTCCTCCTCCTCCTCCGTCTCCTCCTCCTCCTCCTCCTCCTCCTCCTCCTCCTCCTCCGCCTCATCCTCCTCTCTCGCCTGGCCTCCTCCTGCCCCTGCTCCGAAAGGAGGGCAGAAAGAAACGGGCGCTCCTCGTTGCCGCGCTTGTCGCCCGCGACTTGCCCTCCTTCGCGACCGTCGGCGAGGCCTGCTTGATCAGCGGCAGGAGGTGAAGATAGAGGGGGACAGGTCGTGGGCGAGGATGAGGGGGCTGGGGTTGGGGACCAGCGCGGGGGGGGGTCAGGGACGAGGTGGCAGAGGGGATGGGCACAACGGGACAGGTTGAAGGATCCATGGACTTACAGCCAGAAAGATGGATCAGGAACGGCCAGCAGACCTGTCAACGACATCTTCCACAAACGATGAGCCAGCTTTGGATCTACAGCCCAACGTAGATGCAGGGGGCTTAGAAACTGGCCCAGCGTCCTGGACTGGAAGCTACTTGAAGAAACGCCGGGGCCAGGTTTCTGAATGACTGGCGCAGGCGTAGGCGGTGGGGGAAAGGTTAGGTCGGGTATGTCCCCCTAGGCTTTTGGGCGACAAATAAAGCATACCCAACAAATATTCAAAGTCAGGTCCAACATAAACAAAAATTCGTTCCCAACATATGTTTTCACTAGTTTGAAAAATTCTCCTGTAGAGGGACACGCCCAACTTAGAGTAAGGGTGGGGGGCCAGGGCGGGCGGTGAAACATGGCGCGAGGACTCGCGTGTCAGGGAAGGGGGGGGACGCGGAACGGGGAGAAGCCGAACGAACAGCGGAGGTGTAGCACGGAGAGTGGGAGGAAGTGGGGACGAAGAGGTGGAGATGAGCTTCCGATTGGGTTCACGAGTATGAAGGGGCCCTGGGACATACAAATGAATACAGACAAATAAAAGGATTCCCCATATTTTCCTATATGTTCTGGGCTTTTGTCTTCCCCCACACTTCCCATATTTTTCCAATATTTTCTAGGGAATCGACGATTAATTATGTCTGTGTGTTTTTTTCCATCCTGATTGGTTCACGAGTAGGAGGTGCCACGACACGGAGACCACGCAGCGGAGGAAGGCGCAGAGGCGCACCGCCAGGAAACTCAAAAGCGCCGACGACTGCCTGCGACCACGGGCTCGGGCACCGGAAAGCTCGGCCCGACCCGCGGCCGTCTTCTGTAAAGGGGCCCCAGGACACACAAATAAACACACACAAATAAAAACATTCCCCATATTTTCTAATATTTTTCTGGGTTTTTGTCTTCCCCCCCACTTCCCATATTTTCCAATATCTTCCAAGGAATCGACGATTCATTGTGTCTGTGTGTTTTTTCCCCTCCTGACTCTGCCATCACGAGGAGGCGTCGGGCGAGGAGAACTGCCGGGACGGACCGAAGCCGACATGCTCTGGGGGAGAGGGCCTGACCGGGCAACCAGGCGTGGGCATCTAGATTGCCGCCACGCCCCCTCTGGGCAGAAGGAGCCGACGGCGGCGCGCAAGAGCCCAGACCCCCGACGTCATGATGTTTCGTAACGCCGACCCTCAGAGGTCTCGAGCGCTTCCCCTGGAGCAGCTTTCACCCTGAGTCGTGTTTGGACGGTCCCGAGGGCCGGTGAGGGCCTCAGAGGGCGAGAATGCAGAAAAACCTCCCGGTATCATTTTTTCATTACCCGAGGGGGTCTGGGGAAACCAGGCGTGGGCATCCAGATTGCCGCCTGGCCCCCTCTCGGCAGAAGGAGCCGCTGGCGGAATGTAAGAGGGAGACTTGAGAAGGGACCGACCGTCCCAGCGTTCCTATGGATCTATCACGAAATATTTTCAGAACCCAAAGCTGTTCTAAGAACAAAAGCACGGTTCTTAGAACAGAAGCCCGACGTGTTAAACCAAAACGGCCTCAGCCAGCAATGTTCTGAGAACACTTCTGACAGACAACAAGAAGGTTCTTAGAT